AGCGTAAAGGAAAGAGACGTAACGTAGACATACTGATTCGAGCATTTGAATCCAACGTGGCAACATGGGTAAGTGCTCAGTGGGTCAGCGGAGGAGGAAGAACAAGAATTTATCGTGAGAAATTCCTCGGGACGAAACCGAATGCTTAGCGCCTAGGCGCCTCACCTCACCGTTCGGTTGCATCTCGGGCGACCGGCTCGGCGCGGCGGCGTAGTTCAAAGAGAATCTATACGCGTCGTTAAACCTTTTTCCTTCACGCTATTTTAACATGTGATACATGAAATCTCATCAATTTTTCACGAGAAATCCGAATCTGAGCTTAGATTTTGGATATTACGCGTTTTAATCTATTTAAAATCGTAAGAGAATTTACAGAATTGTCCTTGAAAATTGATCACACATTAGTGTTTTTTTACGTCATTAAACCTCTTTCCTTCACGCTATTCTAACATATGATACATAAAATCTCATTAATTTTTCACGAGGAATCCGAATCTGAGCTTAGATTTTCGATATTATGCGTTTTAATCTATTTAAAATCGTAGGAGAAATTACAGAATTGTCCTTGAAAATTGATCACACATTAGTGATTTTTTACCCCGTTTTTCTTCTACGCTCACGTAATGAAATTAGATCAACAGTTGACTCATCGACCAGTCTAGCCTAACTCCCCAGAATCGGTCTAAAGGGCGAACGATTTTATCAGATAAGATGTGCGGTCCTAGTTTCCGGGCAATTGCGGTTTGATGGAAGCTGCGATGAGAAGAAACGGAAGATATGCGAAACTCGGGCGGATATTAAGTGAGAAACCAGGTAGGGGAAAGGCTTTCTTCCCGAAAAGTTAGTGCTCGGCCCATCTTACATGGTCACCGGAGCATTGTATAGCAGGTTGTGGGAAACTATTTTTTTGCAGCAACAACCAATTGGATTGCATTTTGCAAAAAGGAACTAAGAGGATTTCAATGTTGCTGGGATTGTGCAACTTTGGTACATTCTTTGCAAAAAGTAAACTTTGCGACGGTAATTTTCGTCTTGAATTCATAGTTTATTGGGAGTAGAGGTGAAACTAGTTTAGAAGATCGTTTATGTTTGCAAGGTTAGCGACATTGGAATGCTCTTCCTCAACGCGCGTTGATGACAGCGCAGAGATGCAAGTATTGGAGCTATATATTCGTGGATATCCATGTTGCTTAGGCAAAATTGAAGGTGCAATATTGTGAGGCGTGGAATCGCAATGCTCCGCTGCGTGTTGCTAGTGAGGTTTGACGCAGATTCGGGAGGTAAGTTATAAAAAAACGCTTTCCAGCCATGATGGAAACGGAAGGTACACTCAAAAAAAAAAATCTTACTTTAAGCTTGAGCAAGCTTGATTCAGCATGACGGGCGTCTTAAAAACGGGTACAAGCTTACAGCATGTTACGGGAACAAGGAACATAATCAAAAATGTTGAAGAAACATGATAGCCGTCATGTTAAATCAACATGACTGTCGTCACGTTGACTTAACATGCTGTCGTGTTGATTTAACATGACAATCATGTTGATTTAACATGACAATCATGTTGATATACGAGTACGTCAAATGCTACAAATTAAAATAAATTACGTTATTTTTATGAAAATCGAATCGTGTTTTAATGTAGTTATACTTCCGATACTACTCTCAACCCAGAATCATCCCATCCGACCTATCAAATTTTTCCGACTTTTTCGGGATTTGAACGCGGGACCTACCTATTATAAGCGCGGTGTTCTACCAACCGAGCCATCCGGGCTTGTGGTCCCAAAAGACGAATTTTAAGTGTTTCCATATCCCACTGAATTACTTTTTCCTTTTTTTGCCGTCTAAGTTGTGTGAAATGCATACCGCATCAGATTGTTAGGTTTTTCTTTTTTTCCATTCACTATTTACGAAAAGGAATTTACATTATGCACCATATAAAAATTAACAATTTATCACGAACTATTTTTTTCTCCTCCAACAACGATGTTCACTTTCTTCAGTGTTTACGATTGTCATTTTTATTCTTATTTTATATCATAATAATAATTAATAATATAAATAAATCAAACATTGAAAATAAAAAATATAATCAAATAATTAGAAACGTATGATTCTAAGAGCTTTAACCACACGAGCGAAAATGTTTTTGAACGAAGAATAATAAACTATCATCAACTTAAAAGTAATTCTTTTTGTTTCATGTGTAAGTATTATTACCATATTACCATTTATTTGTCATGGTGAGCGTTAATAGCGTTATTCGAGTCGATTTATTTTGTTTCCGAAAGTGTCTCAATTGTGTTTTTACCTTATCAATTGGGTATCCAGAAATTTTTTTAAGTAAATACTTTGGGACGTATTTCTTAAGAGACTTTTTCAGAATGTACCAACGAATGGTTTGAAAAGAGTAATAGTACCAGTTCTCTGAATAAAAAATAGGTACGCTATTTTTAATTTGAACGTTACTCGCAGTGAGTAGACAATCTTGTCTAAGTGTCAAGACTATCGAGTCAGGTGGCTTAGATGTCTAGCTTATGAAACGAAATCATGAATGGAGGGAGGGGGAGGGAGGTGGAGGGAGGGGGAGGGAGATGAGGAGGAGGGAGATGAGGAGGAGGGAGATGAGGAGGAGGGAGATGAGGAGGAGTGAGAGGAGGAGAACACGCCATCCCCCTTTTCAGTACGTAGATGATGTTTCAAGAGCACCACGGTACTCCTGAAACAATATGAAAGCAAATGGTAACATAACACTGCATATGCTAATTCAACAAAATGTTAATGTTCTTTCAACCAAAGGAATGGTAAAACAACATGTGTAATGCAGTTTCAGTCTGACATAATGCTAAATTTACATGAATTTGGTTGAATTAACATGCGTAATGTTACTCGAATATTACCGTCATGTTGATTCATCATGACAGGTAGAAGCATTCTCGGTCATGTTGATTCAACATGACGGCAAATGTAGAATTAAGTCAAACCATGTTGGGTTACGGGGAGTGCAGCCTATATCAACATAATTTCTGTGATGTCATTTCAACATGGCGGTTAATGCTACTTCGACATTTCCTTTTTTTTGAGTGTAGATTTTGACTAATCGTTTCCATGAAAACAATTGCGCCTAATGAACCTGACAGGTCGGAAAATCATCCCCATTTGGACTTGAGATTTTCTGGATAAGGGGTAGTTTTAGAGGGTAGGCAAATACAAGTTGTTACGAAGGTCATGACGAGACGAATTTCTTGAGGTACCACCGACTGAGATCGGACGAGTTCTAAAAATCATTCCCCTTTGGACTTGAGATTTTCTGGATGAAGGTGGTTTTCGAGGTTAGGTGAATACATATAGGTTGTTTTGAAGGCCACGACGAGACAAGTTTTTTGAGGTATCACCGACTAAGATCGGACGAGTTCGAAAAATCATCTCCCAGTGACCTTGACGTTACTGAACTGAGGGATGGGCCAAATTTCACCAAAAATGAAACTTGATGTAGACCTCATAGCAGTGAAGAACCAGGCTTATAGGTTTCGTTTTGATCGTATCGATACTTCCGGTAAACGGTCGCAAAGTTTCGTTAGATCCCAGTTATAAATATATATATCTTACTTATGACCTGCATTTTGCAACTCAGGGCTTCAGGATCGATACTATATGAGCGCAAATTCCCGAGAATTAGGAGGTCGTACCGTCTGCAATAGGTGGTAGATATTCCTTCGAACCCCAAAAAATCCAAAATCCCAATTCATTTCTACCAAAAAACGAGGCTGGGTTACGTCGTTCGTATCTTCAGTTGTCTTGCTCTTGTATCACTTGAAACACCACCTTAAACAGGACAAACGAAACCAACACAATATGGAAACGAAGCCCAGGAAAAGGTGCACGTTAGTGAAGGCGCAGAGATACAACTATTCGTACTTGATGGATGTCCGTGATGCATCTGCAAAATTGAAGGCGCGATTACGCGAGGCGTGAACTCTCAATGCACCGCTCTGTATGCTGCCAATTAAGTGACGCTCAAATTCGGCAGAGAAGTTAAAAAAAGAGGCCTAACCTACGTCTCTCCTATCTCCGGCTGCGTTGACACTGGATTTTTTTTTTTTTTTTTTTTTTTTTTTTTTTTTTAATTGGACGTATTTCTGTTAAACAAGAGAACTAAGGAGATACGCATTTCTGTACTTAAGCGAGAGTGCGTGAGACACGCGAAAAAATCTCTACAGTTTTCGGTGACTTCCTGATTTTTTTCGATTATGGTATCTTGCTGGCAGATAGATGACAACCTCAATAACACATTAATGCAGTTAACTCAAAACTGTCAAAAATTGAGGCGCGTACTTCTCCACTTCCACCATCCGTAAGTATGTAGGTACCGGCTCCATAGAACCCGCAGGCCACGGGTTTTTTTATCATGCCTCTAGTTAATTTCACTTGGCTTGGGCATCTAAGGGTTAAATAGCAATTATGTTGTTTTCGGCTAGGAGTATTTCGCTCTCTTTTTCTCGCGTAAAACAGGAGCCCGGACCCGTTTAATTGGCCACCTACCCTCACAGGACGCCAATGAATGAATCGCATCTGGAAAAAAAGAAATTCAAAAGTCTTGCGAAACATGTCTCTTGTGATATACGTGATCAGATTTCTATGTTTATCTCTGATATTGGACGGAACACTAACTTGGAGCAAAGTGGTTTATTAATGAGGCAGGTGCAAACTGCAAAGCAAAAATAATGATTTATGAGCGCACAGGAAGGAATAATTAAATGCGGCGGGTGAGTAAGTACATGTTTACCAACCCTTTTGTCTTTGTATAAAAAATTAAAAATTTACATTCAGAGAGACTTTCGATTAAAAATCCATTTGCTTTCAGTTGAAATTTTTCTAAGAAAGGCAACGCTTAAAAATTTGTGTAGATCATCAAAAAAGTTAGGGATCTTGACACAATATTCAGAATTAATGTACATTTCTCGTACATACAGTTGGTATTAGCTTATTGATCACTTGCTACAACAACGAAATTCTTATCACTAAAACGAATGTATTCTTGCAGATAACGAGATAAGTTCGTGAAAGATCACCCAAAATCCTGGTAGGATGAGGTAAATATTTCTTAAATACACTTAATTGCTGCATCTAGAATATATTTTCATCAGTTCTCAAATGAAACATTGACATTTTCTGGTACTTACCTCTGATATTGTCCAGAGAGACCATTGCTTATAACAACTCCGAAAGAATTTGCTCAGTTATCACTTATCAGCCTCTTCAAAATACCAGATTTTACTTTATCGCATTTAATAAGAATAGAATTCCTTCTTTCCTGTAATTTCATTTAATTCTTTGACAGGATCGGTATTTCCAAGCCCAGCATTATCACAAGTATTACAGGTTATGTTTTCTGCCATGGCTGGAATTATCGATTCCCCATCTATTTTATAGAGATCTGTTTGAGTTCATTCCTCCCAATACATCCTCTTTCATGACTCCTGTCAATTTTATTGCCTATCCAACTTGATAGGAATCAATCTTATCAACTTTCTGGACATTACTACCCAGAAAGCAGAGGCTCAAACTCAATATAACCTGTAAGTAAAGATTGACCCACCGAATGTATAAATTTAATTTAATACACGATTAAGCAGATTTGTTGCACATAATGTGTAAAGTGTGCTTGTCAACCTCAAGAATATTCCAGCATGTGCAAGGAAGTAAGAGGTTTGATTCAAAGGGATAAATTCTTATTTCAGTACTTAGCACAAATTTGTATTATTTATTTCTAAAAAATGTTGGATGCTAAATTGTATGAATCACCAAAAGAACCCCTTCTCAACCTGTTTTTTTTAACCCAGCATCAATTTTGTTTGCTTCAGAGTCAACTTCAACAACTGGTAGTGTAAATCTCTGGATCATCATAGTCTTGGTTAGTTGGTGCTTTGATGTTGTTTCAGTGATGTCATTAAATGGTAAGTGATTTTGTTTCTACCGAAATTTATTTCAATTCTGGTACAAGACCTTTATCACTGTTAATAGCACTAAAAACATTGACAGTGAAAAGAAGGAAAGTTCATCATGCACTTTTAACACCAGGGAAACAGTCTGCAAAAGAGTGTTGGTACTTACTTATCTAGAATGACTGGAGTACCTATGTACCTAATTTGTACTCAATTTGATGAACGAGGTCTGAAAATTTCCGCTTATACAGAAAAGGACCCAAAATTAACTGACTGAACTTCACTAAGGCTGCCAGTTTATTTTGATGTACCACTTTATTTTCCTCAACTCCTGATGGATTCTTTGAATTTTTGAAGCGATGGATAACAGTCTTTGATGACCTCTCCTGAGGATTCATTCATTCTTCTATTGTATATCTGGACCCAAAAATGTTTGCTGTTAATCCAAATATGGACCTAAAAACTTGTTGCATTTTTTCCAGTATGGATCTCTCTATTTGAGATCTCAAGTTACAATGATGCACCACGCTAAATTACAACCTTTAAAACCCATCCAAAAATGATTTATGGTGGCTTTAATAAAGCGTATTTTTTTCGCTGCATTAGTTTCCCAGGGCTTGTTTTTTTTCTCCTGTGTGTTTTATAATGCAGTAATTCATTCATCGTGAATGACATCCGTTAACATCAGGTAATGATCGCAAGTTATGGTTTTCACAACACTAAAGAACCCCCATCGGAAGCTATCGAGACGATTATCCAAGCTTGCCGAGAAAAGAATATGGAAAGATCTCAATCAGAGAGGCTGATACAGTTGCCTGAGGTGAAATGTGCACTAATGGGTTCGAAAGTTGGAGGCGTTGTCTCTCCAGAACTCAGACGATAAGAACCTAATATCTAAGCTGACTGTTCATTATTGTATTTTCTTGTGAGATCAGTTTATCTTTGAAAGAGGGTATTATCCAAATCATCACAAAATTTGGGTAACAACTCATGACAGCTCAAAATGTAAAAAGAGTGAGGGGTACACAAAATGGCTGACATGAGGCAAATCTTGGGTGTTTATGTTTTTTTACAATAAATGCCTTTTTTTTTTCTTCCACACCAAATTGGGAAATTTTCTTGGCCAAATTTGTCCCATTTTGCTCCACTTTATCAGTTTTGAGTTCTCCTGATACTAATTAGCATTTGTATTTTTATAAAATTTAACTAATTTCAAATTTTTCTTTTTGCAGACCTCTCTTTGAATTGCAGCGAATGCAAGAAACATTTTACATCTGCAGCTCTTCTCCTTCAGCACTATGCACAGCACATCATCTTTAGCTACAGCGATGCTGCCAAGTCGCTGCGAGCTGAGCGGAAGCGCAAGCGAAAAGAGAAACAAGCGGAGGACGAAAAATTGGAAACGGGACAAAACGTAAGTTCCCCTACCTCCTGCAGTAATTCCAGTACCAGCGCAAAATCCATCTCTCCAACACACGGAGTGGAGGCTAAGTATCTGCCACAAGAACAGAACAACAATGAGCTTAACGACAATTATTCGACAAGCCTACCGACTCCAGAACCACTGAACCTGGTTAAATTTGATCTTCAACAGTGCCTAGAAAACAAAGTCACAAAAGAGGAAAACGATTCAGACATGGAGCAAGGGTTCCCTGTTAAAATTGAAAGTGTATTAGGTATTAAAGAAGAATATTGTGATCAGCCTGATGATGATGGCAGCTCCTCAGGGAGAAATGACTCTGGTGATAGAAACGAAAGTGAAGATTTTAATCCTTTGAAGTTTTGTATGATTACAATGGAAGAAGATAACAGTGCCAATAAAACCTCAGAGGAGTCCTCGCATATTTTGGTCATGCCAGAGTTACAATTGAATGATGTTACTGTGTACAGAAAACTAGCCCCCAAACCCGTTGAGAAAAGTAAATTTGTCACTGAAAAAAGAGGTAAAAGCACGCGCAAATACCCGTGTCACCTGTGTGAAAAAGTGTTTGGCTGGTCAACAGATCTCAAAAGGCATGTCTTAATTCACACGGGTGAACGGCCGTTCAAGTGCAAAGTTTGTCTTGCTTCATTCACCCGGAATTTCCTATTACAAAAACACCAGTCAAAAATTCACCCCTGCTCCAAGCCGATTGTAAAAGATATAAATGATATAAATGAAAAAGATTCATCGCCGCCATTTAGAGTAGTTGATCTGCCACAAGTGTTAAAAATCTAGCTCTTTTTGGCAGTGGCAAATAGTAACCATTTTTCAATCCTAATGTGCGTTGACGGAGCGTTCGAATAATCAAAGTGCAATTGGGAAGTTTATAGTTTTTATTTTAAAGTAATATCCTGCCCCTGACTTTTCATGTGTGTGCAATATTTGTTCCTATTGTTATTTTGCTTGGAAACGAACGCGAAGCTCGTTACAGAAAAAATTCAACATTTTTCGATATTTATTTTTGTAGAATTCCCCCATTTTTCTCATCTGACAATTATTGCAGGAGGATATTCTGTTAAAGCAAAGTGTCATCTGTAAAATCCTTGGTTGTATGTAGGAAGAATTAGCCTTCTCTCCAGTTGTTAAGGTTTCAAGGTTATGGCTAGAAATTCTAAATTTTTGCATACATAAATCCAAATTTTCTATGTCATGCAGATCTTAATCACTCCTTCAGAGTAGGGGTATACTTAATTCAAGATCTCTTTTCTTCTACTTTTCTGGTTAAAAATCGTTGTTTTGGTAATTTCTAAATCTTCTGGTACTTTTACAGTTTTCTTTCTTGTACTTAATTGCTGAGAATTTCACTTTAGAGGAAAGTTGTCAATGAAAAACTTTGAGGAAGCCAGGTTAATTCTGCTGGATTTTTCCCCCCTTCGATCCAACCCTTCATCAGGAAAGCCACTCGTCCTACACACTGATTATTCCACATTGATAGCACTCTTTTTGATGATGCATACATCTCCTTTTGCAATGTTTTAAGTTTTTAGCTGCTTATACTTTAATGAATGACTTTCAATGAATGTTACTGATCTGAGGTCGGTGCCCTCTTTTCCACATTCCATTGCAAAGAAACCTCGGAGAATATAATGCATGAATCAGTTTAAATACTGTTGAAAAAATAAAATGTGAACAGAAACATCCCAAATAGTTCCGTAGACTTCAGTTTAGTTTTTCACCCCCTGTTTGATTTTTAAATAATTTAGAAATTCTAATACTTCCTTTCCAAGACCGTTCAACAATTTTGAAATTAATACCAGTAAGTATGCTGGCAATTGAAATCACGTGTTTGTCTGATGGACAAGGCTAGACAAGTCTCTTTTGGTTTACCGTCTGTGTATGAAGTGCTTTGCCGCTGTTATGTACTGCAGCTAAGCAATTTTTTAACTGGTTTACTAGAATGATTCATGAATTTATCACCTTTTTTGAACAGAGGGAGTGACTAAATTATTAATGATACACATCTATAGTTTCCTTCTTCTAGTCATCCGTAAGTATGAAAATGTTTCCTGTTATGTTTCTCTGCTGTATTTTTATGTTTTTACCGTTAACATTTTGTTCTTCCAATTTTTGACACTGTAACAATAATTATCTGCCGATTAATGTTTTGCCTGTGTAATCTATGTGATTGTAGATGTACTTAACAAAATTTTAAAATTCTGAAGCTCTACGTTTTAGCTTTCTATAAGCTTGCATTTTTTACTTCAGCACCTATTGAGCTGAGCTCATCGGAAAATCAAAGTATAATTTTTCTAGCATTCAGGGAGTCAAGTATTATGCATTTTATTTGTAGGTAATCAAATCTGTAAGGGAATTAAAAAAAAAAAAAAGATTAATTCAGGGTGTCTACAAGTTCGGAATTTCCGGAAAGTCTGATTTTGAAAGCCCAGTCCGGAAGTACTGAAAATCTGCAGCAATTCCGCTACAAGGTCCGGAATTTTTCGTTTTTGTCGCAATTTGAGAGAGAAATTCAAATGTTTGAAATTTTTTTAATTTCGTCATAAATGGAGGTACTGAAAAAGTACTGAATTTCTCGGGAATGTATTGAAAAAGTACTATAAACATACTGATTTTTGGGCAGCTTGTTTTAGTTGACACCCTGTATACATTTTTTAAGGTATCACTTGTGGTAGCAAACTTTTGTCAAATAGTTTTAGTCGAGAAATTCTCGTTTGTCAAAGTTTTTCTCTTAGAACAAACTTTTATTTTAACTTAAAATTGAATACGTATTATTTTAGTTGGCATTCTTTGTAGGAACAAAATTACTTCAATATATTTTTGATTAGGAGTTCTTGGATCATATCTCTCGCTAATCCTCCCTGTTTCATGAGGAATAAACATTTCCTAACTTTTTTCGAAAGAAAATAGAGTAATTGATAAAAAGAAGCTTTGTAAATTATTAGAAAATTTAACTCTAGGTATTACTCTTGCCCAAGTTTAGTGTTTGCTAAATCACCTCTGCACCTTGCATTTTCATATACAGATCAAGAGAGCTGTTTGCCTCGAATGCATGTGTCAAAATGCTTTAACATGTGATATTAAATTGCGAAGAGAAATAATTGTTTCTCAGTTTTGAGCAGTGTCTCAATGGACATGGTGCAGCTCAATCAGGGCAGCAAATTTTTCCAATATGCATATTTTTACTTTCTCGCTCCCCTAGTTTTTATTGATATAAAAAAAAACTTTCATTCTGTAGGTCGTTCTGTATCCCTGAAATAAAGTAAACTTTATCCCATTATTTTAAATACTGCAACTGTAAAGAGTGAAAAATATGTTTAATCAAAAAAAAATGTATCAAAAAATATTTGCATTTTATTTTGATTTTTTTTTTAAATTGATTTTTCACACAGTGAGACAATACTTAGATATTTTCCTCATACTTTCTTGATCAAAATGACAGATGTTACCCTTCTGATTATCGGATGTGAAGCTTTTTTAAGCTGATAAAAGTTCATCTGCACTACCTTTTTGTAGACATTTGGTGAAAATCTGATAACTGTCCTTGACAAATTCCAAGTCACTTAAACCTATCAGATCAGTGATCGAGTACCGAATTTTGTAATAACATAGATGAGCACTGTTCTTAGAATTTTTTAAGTTTCACACTTACTCCATCAAGCCTTGCCTGTTTTTTGGACCATCTTATCATGCTCAACTCACAAGGTCATCCTGAAATATTGATTGCAATAGGGACTCTCGTAGTGAGACTGAATAATACTAAGTCATCAAAAACATGTGGAAACTTTTGAGGGCTCGATCCCCGTTGCTTGTAACATCATTGTGGCTCATTAGTTCTTTCTGTTTTCATTCTACGCCTGACAAGGATATGTGTCATTTTGATCAATAGGACTGGGAAGCAACTGTTTATTCTTGAGTCTGGTTTTAGTTGTATATTTGTATCAATTCAGAGATCTAGGGATTTTTGCTGCCCTGATTTAATCATAAAATTAGTTGATGCGTATGTTCCGAATGTTTTAGGTACTATGGATGTACCTCACCTACCTTTCCCTATCCTTTTTCTAGTCATGTAAGGACTAATGAAATGGTGGTTAAAATTTTAAGTGTAACCGAGACAATAATAAGTTTTATTAATATTTGTTGTATATTTTACCAATTCATACTTATGTGAACATCTGTTTGATCAAACCTTTATACCTGATCTCTCAGTGTTTTTTCTTTAGACAGACGATCTGTGGTTCTCTATTTAAAGTTCAATAAACCGGGTATTGTGACATACCTACTTTTGAAATAGAGGGTCCTCTATTCCTGACCAAATTAAAATTGTTTAATGAATTAGCGAGACCATACGAAAGAAAAAGAAAAGAAAACCCTTGTTCAGAACTCGCAGAAAAACTTAACTTGATGGTAATGATGGTGTGTGCTTTGTAGCAAGCAATTTCTGTATTGTTGGCAAAAATAAAAAAGATCAATATTTTTTCTGAACATTTTTTCACTCGTGCAAATATATTTGCAGAAAATTCTTAAAAAAAATAAAACGGCATTTGAGCTTTTTGAAATATTTCATTGGAGGTGCGTATTTTTCTATTGTAACCATTGATATATACCTTGCTCTTTTACCTATGAAACGGAGAAAGAGGAATAGATCTTTCCAGTTGTTACTTAAATCGTTTAATGTAGTTGTGAAGTGTTTAATCTTAGAATTTAAAATTTTGATGTACCACCATTAAAGTGAGACCACCCTAAGCAAGTCTCATAAATTTTAAACTTTAAAGCAATGTTAGCTGCATCAAGCAAAGTTTTGTGAATTGTGCTAAATTATTTTTGCTCTGTCCCTTTCAAATTTTGCAAGGTTACAATGTGGTCTCATTTGTCAAATCCCTTATTCATTTTATTTTGATTTAAGCTTCCAAAGCATTATGAGCTGTACAAAGCTGTTCCGAAGCTGTACTAAAGTTTGGGTTGTCTCGAACATTTAGTTTGCTCTTTTTTGTTTTATTTTGTTCAGTTCATTTTTTTGTTATGAATGTTTACAAGGCAGGGTGCCATTCAATCCAGTTATCAAGGAATCAATTCGAGTATCTGAAAAACTCTACACTTCTAGACTTGTGTACCTATTTTACAAAGGAAGTTTGTAAAGCAATAGATACTTGGTAGCATTTATTTACGTTAATGTAGAAGAAATTCAAGGAAAATGGATGGTAAACAACTTGCAAACAAACTAGAAAACTTTGCAAAAGCTCAAGCGACAATTGAGCCAATATTTTCCTCAAAGGCCCACTTACGAAAACCCAAGTTTCAAGAAAAAAAAAAGTTTTTGAAAAGGAAGAAAATGTTTGAGGGCTTGAAAGATTAAGCGTACGCCAAATGGCACAGTTTTTCTCGAAATTTGGGATTGGGTGGCCTTCTAGAAAACCGATTTTTGATTTGTAGAACAGGAATGATCAACATTTGAAGGTCTAAAAGCTGTCTAGAAGTTTTTGAATTTTGGAAAAATTTGCAGTCTCAACAAAATCCCAACGCAACTAGTTCCCCTCTCATTCTTACTGCCTTTCAATACTGTGTGAATGGTTACATCGAACATTTTATCTGTACCAATTTTTTTTTAGTTATAGTTATGGAAAATTCATGTTAATGAAGTTTTCAAGTACCTCTCGAAACATTGTAAGTTCCACTGTCTTCCCCTCATTTTATTAATCTCTCGGCCAAATTAGAGTTTGATTCATTTTAATTATTAATAATTTATTATGTGTCGATGAGAAAATTTGCCGTATGAGCAAGAGAAATTTTCTGAAGTCGAGTTTTTATTCCTAACATTTCATTATTTTTCTGCAAACTGTTGAGTACTAATCGATAAAACAACCCTGTGAAACATGAAATTCATCCATTGGAGACACCACATAGTTGGAATGCTTCCAAGCATTGTGTACCGTACTTTTATAATTATTTTTTTACCCTGCTCTCCTTGTAAGGGAAATCCGTATACCCTTGTCGGTTTTTTCATGAAAAGTGGTCCAAAAATCTTTCTTTCTCCCTAAAATCTCATACGTTTTATTTTTGGAGTATATCATGTAATGTTTTAACCCCCTAAAGCTAGATTCGTTCCCCTTCAAGTGCGTTACATAATCTTTGAACGCTCCTTAACTACAAATTGTGTTCACTTTTCAAGAGACTTAAAATTTTCAGTGAGGAAAGAGTCGAACTTGACTTCCTTACCCCAAATTTTCAGTGACAGCCATTAATTCCTCTCTGTACTTAGATCCGGTGATGCGTTTTATATTTTTGTATGATAAAAGTGTATACATTTAAAAAATGTCATGCAGCATAGTAAACTGCTGGTTCTGTTGGGACTACCTCCTCGTCAGTGATTTTTGTGGATGCTTCTATGTTACTTAAGAATCTATGATATGTAATTTGTGACAATAATGTTTGTAAATTATCTGAAGACAATAATTTTCATATTTTTTGCTTTGAATGCATATGTTCAAGATCCCACAAGATTTGATGTTTAATTTTAGGTCTTTTTTTGTTGTAGTTTGTTCTAGCATGTTGTTTTCTACTTATACTTGTCAAATATAAATTTTGGGCAATTTAATGTTTTCTCTCATTAAGAAGTTCGGATCCCAAGATGATAAATCCCAAGATTTGGTCGTCAAATGGGTGTTATTTGGGCTAACTTTAAATTCCTTGCTTTGAAGAAAAAGCCTCTGCACATAATTTAAGGAATTAGTGCCTCTCCATAATAATAAATAAATAAATGGAAGACATATAAGAACTGTCAAACCCGATTTTAAATCTTTTAATGTATTTTTTTTTTATTGTTGACAACTGATTTTGAAACTAAATTGCAAGAGCTGCTGCTTTTTTCCCCTATGCAGCTCTAGTTTTATTCAGATTTTTGACCAAATTAATGTGATTTTTCAAAAGAACTGAATCGTGTGATGATTACATCAACAGTTCTGGTCATTGACTGGATGAACTGGTCCTATAATAGCATTTTTAATAATAGTACACCTTTTTATGGATTATTCAGGTGATAAAGGGATAAAAGAGGGGGGGGGGGAGGAACAGTAAAAACTCAGTTAAGTATTTTTATCTCAAATTTTGTTCTAGATCTTCATTGAAAGAGACAAATTAGCTCTTCTTTTCGTGCAACAAGCAAAACAACAAATTTCATCTACCTAAAGAACAATTTTTTAGGTACAATATTTTTACAAGTATTCATAAACTGAATTCACATATTGAATCACTGCAAGAATTTTTGACCTGTATGAAAGTTAACATGTTCGAAATTGGCTAACATTCAAACTAATTTCTTTTTTAGAAACACCTTTGCAATGACTGATTTTTTAGAGCGCAAATGATCTGGATAGTGAACGCATTCTTTCTTAAAATGTTGTGTCTGATAAGAGTTTAAAGATGGAGCTTGAGTACATGGTCGAATTCAGTGACAGCTATACAAACTTAATTGGTTAATGTCAACCAACTGACTTGAAATTTAACTTCACCCTGTCAGGTGTAAAATTGGTATTTAAAAATGCAAAAATCAGCAATTTTGAACACTAACCAATAATTCTGAACTCATTTCTTGCCGCTGAAAGTAAAAATACTAAGCATTCACAATTAGTTTCCTGCGGAAACAAGAAGAAAATTTAGTTACAATCGTTTCATATTGTTAAGTTATAGTTATCAAAATCACAAAGATATTAAAGTGCATGGATTGAAGAGATTATATGTTCAACCGACGAATGGTTTGAAAAACAATTTGACGGCTAAACGCAAAAAATGCGGCTCTCATGTGCACCATTTCAAAGGTTCTGACACTGACATATTTTCCTCAAGGAAGACAAATAGAAATGCTTCCTTGCATTTTTGTATGGTGCTTTAGTGTGAAAGAGGAAAATTCACGACTTTTAATAGAAACTGTTGATTAGATTTCCTTCAAAAAATAAAACAAGAAAGGCTTACGATGTCATAATCTGAGACTCGCATTTTTCAACTTATGTTATCGAATTAAAACTGATTGTGTTACAAATAGGTCTACATTTAAGTTTATAAGACTTTTTGGGCCTTAAACCACAAAATTAAATTCTAAAAATGCAAATATTGCCTGATGGAGATAGTTCTGAGAGAACAATACGGTTAAATGAGTATAAAAAAATACTTTCATGCCATTGCAAACAGAAGTACTCACACCACTTGTGAGTATGGGAGAAAGGCCATCTCTTCAATTTCATGATTCATGCAAGAATATTAATGCTTAAAAAATATTTATTGATGAACGTTCTTGAAAACATGCTTTGAGGTATTACAAAAAATTCGTTCTTCAGGAGATGAAGCCGATTGAATACGACCAACTTCATAAAGTAAATTGATTAAGAGGTTAGCGGTTGCCAAAACGAGATGGGGAAGCTCTTTAATTCATTTTCCTTTTGTATTCTTCACTATTCTTGCTGATTAACCCACGTGGACAAAAACTCAAGACAAGAGCAACTCTTTGAAACCCTAAGACAAGGGGTGATGGATATTGGTTTCCAAAACCTCCGGCTTACAGTAAGTGAATCATACTTTTGCTTTGAAATAAAAAAAATGAGAATGATATTAACAGGTTGAGAATTGAAAATTAATTAACAGGTAAAAATACATATATTACACAATTGATACAATAATAAAAATAAATACCTAATTTAGGGAAAAATATCACAAGTTTTCGAAAACACTGTCAATGCTCTGCGAGTCTTTCTCTACAATTTCTTCGCTATACATTCCTTGAGTATCATCAGCCTCTGGAAAAAAGGATCAAAACAATTAAAACTATAAAAAAATATAATTTAAAAAGGAGGGGAAAAACTAGAATTTCAAGGGACAGATTTCTGGCAATCAAAAATAAATGGACTCAAAATAGTAAAATTTTTTTTTCTTTCTTTTTTTTCTCTCTGTAAGTATTAGATATGGACAATGGAACTACCAGACCACGTATCTTGGTTTGCAACGTTGCAGGTTTCTTGTCATACTTAATTTTTTAAATGGAATACTACTCGACGTCAATTCTTGAAAACTTTTGCAATTTTTCTTTTCTGTGCGGAGTATACTGAGGAGTGATATTGATTTGTTCTCCTCCAATACAGCAAAGTGGGAGCAGAGATTTTTAAACCCTGCAAACGAGTTACTTGGTCTGGTAATTTCACCGTCAATATTTCCTTGACCAGCTTTTCAACTCGCATAGAGAAAATCAATAATTAATTATTACAGGAAGAAATACCAATTTTTCAGTTTCGGGCTCTCCTTGGAAAACAGCCACTATGATGAGGCATGTTACTTAACATACTCAAAGATTTCTTGCCAAAAAGACTTAGCTAGAACTTACCAAAACATTCCAACGTTTCTTCCAGAGTCACTTCCGTGACAGAGATATTACTTATATCACATTCATTGACTGTTTCGTTCTCACAGTTTTCATCCAGTGCTGACTGGTCCAATTTACACTAAAGAGAAAAGAAAAATGTTATTCATACTTATGAATCATCTTAAGTTAGTCAATTTGAATTTTTTGCTTATAAATGGATCAAAATTAAAGAAGTTCAGAGTCGACAGTGAAAAGAATATTCATCATTTGGCAAATAACAAATGGTGGGTTTCCATTATTCACCAAGTTTATAGATTTTTCAAAATTTCTCGCGATGCAAAAATTGGGGCTAAATTTTGCAATTTTTTTTAGGAATGCTATGGATTGTGAGTAAAGGGATAAAGTAAGGAAAATATTCCTAAAGTTTTGAAAATACATTTTACATACCTCCGATATTACTGTCTCTTCAACCATATGAGATAAGGATGAATCATTTGCAGATTCGGAACCTGAAATAAAGATAGAATTAATGAGAGATACTCTAGCCTTAACAAAAAGGTTTATTTCTTGTTCAGTGTGTGTACAACTCGGACTAGGAGTCCATCCTCAACACTTTTCCATCTAACTTTGAAAAGTATTAAACTCCAATTAATAACATAGAGACGTTACAAAAAGATATATTGATTCAACGACATTCAAAGCCTCGAATCTGATTTATGTGGCAAACAGTGCACATCATGAAAAGCTTAGTAAAAAATAGTGGACAAAACAGTTTATAATTGAATAGGATCAACAACAATATACCATGCAAAAATAGCTGATGTCCATTTTTCTAGCTTGGAGTTTTTTCTGTGTTAATAATCGTAAAAATGGTGCTGGCACTTGTTCTGAGATTGAGATAACCCCAAAACAAGTATTTACACCACTTTCATTGTTTCATCTTACTTTGAAAAGTATTATCAATCTAATGCTTCGAGTCACATGAAAATATATTGGTTAACTTAATAATTGTTCCAATTTATATTTAATTTAGAAAACGAGGTTACAATCACGCTCATTTTACTCAGTTTCCATTCATAATGAGATTCATCATCAGATAACAGCCCAGGGGTCAGTTGAGTTGTTGTAGAGTCGCGTTCTGATGGTTTCAGTTGTTATAATAGCAAAAAATAACAAGATCCGTCCAAATGCCTAGTTTCTACGTCCAATAGTAACAGAGATATCAGGCTTAGGAATCCGAAGTGTGTAACATCATCTACTGTGGTAGTACATGCATAAGTGTTACGATTTCTTTCACCTTCGATTCATCAATTAGTGATATCCGCATTTGCACCGGTTGCTCGATTTTGACATGGATAAAACCAAGATAGAAGAGACCTTGGTATGCACAACCTTAGAGGATGACGTCGTGTACCGAGTTTTTGGAAGAGCAATTGATCTATCTTTGTTGACCTATCTTTGTTAATTTTGGATTCCGATACTTGGTGTTTGGACGGATCTTAACACTTTTTGCTGATCTTCAATCTGAAATAATCACAACACGATTCTGTGACCAGCACAATTGATCCGAACTCCTTTCAAACTTTCTCCAATACCTGATGATTCAGCTGTAGTATGTATTTTTTCAAAAGGAAATTATCCACAAAGACATACCTGGAGATACTGCTAACATGTGTGTACTTGAGTTACAGTCTAACTGATCTGTCAGATCGAGAGAACTAGGAAGAGAATTTACACTAACGGTTGAATCTTGATTTGATTCATTTTCATCTGGAAATAAAAGAAAAACAAGTTCTAGAAAGTAGTATCCCAAAGTTGATGGACCATGAAATTAGCCTCCCAGTGAGAAAATACTGGGGATTCTTGCTAAATATGTTTGAAAGCAAGGTTTCAACTTCCAAAATTTGGAAGATACTGCATTGGGCAAAATCATCTGAAACCCTTGATTTAGAGTCTGCAATCTAAATAATCTCTCAAACGATCAATCTAATCTAGCGATAACTTGCAATATTATCTGATAAGTCTCTCATCGAATCAGGAAAACTCAAAACAGACAATAAAACTGAGAGACTTCTGGCAACATTGCCTGAATTAACAAGGATATTAAAAATACTAACTTATTGAACTTTGGCTGTGATGCTACCTGACTTTACCGATACTAAAGTGTCTCATCCAAAAATCCAATGTTTTAGGTTTTCAATACGTGAATAGAATGAATCACCAGATGGGGTGATGTGAAAACTATTTTTCAATATGTGCAGAATTTATCCTTTGACAAGGTGCAAATTTCAGTTTTAAGAAGTATTTTTTCTCAAAGTTAAGTAGAAAGCAAGATCTGTGTAATGAAAATTATTGAAAGTAACTCCTAACCAAGATATCAACATTTTTCAATGCATGAATTTAAACTTTCCGCTTACACAGGAACCGAAATCTACTTGGGTTGAATCGCATGCTAAACATTACAATAACAGCCTCTGCAGAATAATATTGCGGCAACTTCAATCCTAGTGCATCCGCTCAGCTGTGAAGCGCAATAAGCACATTGTTAATACTTTGAGCAACACAAGTCAGAAGAGGAATACTGCTTGATTAAGAAGTCTGCCAAAACCATTGTAGTGTGCAATTTGATTCACATGGATTCTTTCCTCTCTTGTGAGCGGGGATTCAATTTTTTTGTAACTAGTGCAAATGAAAGTGTTAATATTTTGGTTCCGAAGTTATTCTGGCGATTCTGGGTGAAATTTTGAGAAGGGAACTTAGATCAGACTACTTAAATTTGGACCAAGTTTAGAAGTCTTTATCAACTAAAAAAAATAGTCATTCCAGATATCATGCAAAAAGTAGTTCTCGGATACTTTTTGAAACATAAATCCTTTAAATAGATGACAACAAAAAATTACCAAATGGAAAAGAGTAGACGCCTGTGACTGGATCCAATATACCGACTCCTTCAGCATCCGTTTCATTCAAATCAGTGGCTTCTTCATTCACTATTCAAAACCAAATTAAAATTAATAGGGTAATCCAAAAGAACAGGTAATAGTAAGGCAATCCAAAAGAACAGGTAAAATAAGTGAAATTGAAAGTCAGTGTACAGCAGAAAATATTTTATGCAAAATAACCCAGTTTTTTATTTCATTTTTTGGTCTTGTATTTCGCAGCAGCCTCTAACCTAACCCAAGTTAGGTATTATTTTACTGCATACACAGTAACGTAAGTACAGTAAAAAAAGTTTGTAAAAGCAATAATAAAACGCCAGTGAGTAGAAGAGAAATCCTTTAACCTTTTAATTTTATTTCTTATGAAGAGGAGAAAAGTGAATCAGTTGTTTTCAAAGCCTTGGCGTACATAAAAGGACATGCTAAGTAAGACTCATCAAGGAATGGACTTATTCCCTTTTGAGTCAAGTTTGAAAATCTTTCTGATGTTTCGCAAACTAAATGCGGCTAAACTTAGTTTCTCCTTTCACAAATCAAATTATTTTAAACACCTTGCGATATTTTCTCTTTGTGTTCACTCTTTTTAAAAAACATAAAAACCTGATTTATGAGCAAATATGCTTCACTTACTACTGAGAGGCAGTATGACGCGCTAATTTCACTTCAGACGTGATAGTGGTACTAATCGCAACTTTCAAACTTAAATCTAATTCCAAAACTAAGATAAACTTAACACCATCTTTCTACCCATTTTGATTTATCTATTATTTAGATGATATAAGATAGAAACTTTACTTCTCAGATTACCCTTGCAACAAAGCTTCAACTCTGGCAAGACAGACTTCTGACAATTATTTTATAAGAAGACAATACTTCTTCGTTTCATATTTTTGGCACTGAAAATAAGTGAGTTTGAAATGGTTGATTTAGATTTGAATCGTCTTTAAAAGTGAAATCATTCGAAAAAGAATGAAATAAAACTTGAAATGGGAGCAATTACCTTCTGTAGAAGTCGATAAACAATAGCTCGGAATGAAAGAACTGCTGCATGATGTATCAGACGTGGATGGTACATTCACAACTATCGGCTCCTGTTCAACAGTGAAATTGAACTGAGATTTTGAACCAATATTTTGAGTATCACAGACACCGGATGAAGTTCCTCCAATCTCGCTTAGATCGACGTCTAGAGTTTGGTTTTCAGGAACGGGGGAGGACATCAGTCCTGCCAAAGAGACGTAACAAGTGGTGGACTTGCTGCTCGGGATGACTACACTTTTGACTTTGGTCGAGCTATCATTACTCCCTGCGGAATTTGACGACACGGTTGTACTCTTGGACAGAACATCAGTGCTAGGTGCAGAACTTGCAAAAAGAAGATTCAGCTGACTTTGAGGACTAGTTATGCTAGAGGAGGGGACAGTGCCTAGCACTTTGCCTTCATTGTCTGTGATGATAATTTTGGTCGAGGAAGCAACCGGAACAGAGCTGCTGCTAGGTGTTAATATTCTGTTCATGACAGGTGTTGACGGAGCTGGTGCTTTTGTTATTTTCTTCAGCAATGGACCGGGCTTCGACTCTGGGATTACAGGGGATTGAGCGGGTTTTAAAGGCAAAGGTTTAGGTACAGAAGTAATGGGCGCGGGAGATGGAGATTTTGCTGGCGTGATGCTACTGGTAATACATTTTGATTTTGTGTGGTCAAGAGGGAGAATAAGCTTTGACTTGGTGTATGTTTTGACATTATTGCTGATGCTTGTCGAGGGTAGATATCCTGATGGTGGCTTGCTCAACTGAGAAGGAAGGTTGCTGAAGCTATTTTGGTTGGCACCTTTCATACGAACACTCCCCTGAAACAGGACACAAAAATTAAAAATTATAAAAGCAAATAAAAGTGAAAATTTCAAAGATAAAGATACAGTAAGATCTCAATTTACAGGATCGTAATTTAATGAATAGATCTTTCCGTCCCGTCAAAGGCCAAGCTAATTTGAATTACCTAACGGATTTTGGGATTTACCAGATTGTTTTGTCAATCTTGTGAAATTCAATAAATTGCGGTCTTACTGTAAAAATTTTTTTTCCAAAAATACACTCAAAATCATATTTCCCAGTTTCAAAAAAGTAATTTAAACTTTTGCCTGGGAATGAAGAACCTGACAAATCAAAAAAGACACCACAAGGGGCCATTCATAAATTATGTAACATTGTAGGGGGAGGGGGGTTGAGGCGAGTGGTAGGCCATTTTGTTTTTACATGTTAAAACAGAGGCACCCATGTCACAGGAGCTTTACAAGAGGGGAAGGGGGGCTGAAAAATCCTAAATTTAGCATTTCGTTTGTGGACTGCATTTTTCAATTTGGAACTATAATTTCTGGCTCAGTTTAGAAACAGCGTACGTACATACCATTAGTTTTCCTAAGCAGATAAGTGTTATTAAGGATAGGGTAGAAATTGCAGTTCCTAATTGTAAAATGCAGTCCATTTTATGAACAGCCGCTAAGTGGGAGAGGGAGGGGAAAGGTGGAGCCTTGCAGGTTTCAGCGATGCCAATGCTCAAAAACTTTCAAGGTTATTGACGGGGCTGTGCCAGCCTGGTTTTTTGGGTTCAAGTCGAGTTCTAGTATTTTTCACTGTTTAGAGCCGAATTCAAGCTTTGAAAATGATCCTCGAGCCAAGTCGAGCTTGAAAAATTTTGAATTTTAAGAAGTGATTTTACAATCAAAATATGATGGCAAAACTAAAAATAATAATAGTATGATTAAAATATTTGGGAGTTGGACTCTTTCAGCGTTTTCGACTCCAAGGAATCAAAATACTTGAAAAAAAAATTGTGTTATCTGCACTTGAGCCAAGTTTGAGTACTCGCTCGAACCTAACCTAACTTTAGAGCTGAGTCGAGTATTCGATACTCGGCTCAACTCGACTCGAAATTCGAGTACTTGCACAGCCCTAGTTATTAAACACTTCGGCTGTAACCCTGCCCCTCTTCCCCCCATGAGGCTTAGAACTGTGCTTCCAGATTTGACGTATTTTGTGCACATGAGTAACAGAGCTGGCGAGTTGTTTGTAAGCATTTATGAACAGAAAGGGTTTCCAAAAATTGCTCACAGCCAGTCAATATGACTCTTGAGTCAAATATTTTGTTGAGGACATTCTTTGGGGTTTTTCTTGAGATTTTGGAGGAGACGTCTGATCTCATGAGCACTGCATTTACACAGTATGCAAAAATTAATTTGCTCTTGCCTGAGAGGATGTTGAAACAGCAGGAGTGCTATCTTGGTTTAGCTTTGGCACCTTCGAGTGGGGTGATTCCAAGTGTAGCGGAACACTGTTGGGCATCTTCCTTTTCAACACTTTGTCAGGTGTATCCTGTAATTTCATTAAAATAAAATAAGATATGGGTAAAATTTTACCAGAATGAGACAAGAGGAAAATCTATACTTGTTGAAAAATGTCAATTAAGTGACAGTATCTTGGGATGTTATCTGATGAAATAACTAGGAGGCAATTCACCACATAAATGCTTTAAGAGGTTTCCATAATTTCTTCAATTTCCGATTTCCTGACTTTCCCTGACTCTAAAATTTTTGGATTACCTGATCCTTTAACAAAACTTCCATTCAGATTTTTTTCTTTTCATTCATGCTGACTTCTGTTAAACGCTACTTGTGAAATACCATGACTTTTTCTATGCATTCCCTGTCTTTTCTAGGTTCCAGATTAGGGTGCATTGCAATTTTCAAAAGTAAAATTCCCTGATTTCCCTGACAAAAGCTCCCAAAAAATCCAGGAAAAATTTAAAATTCCCTGAAAAACTGAAAAAATAATTCCCTGACATTTCCCTGGCAAAAAGGGATTATTCCCAATATTTTGTTATGGTTGAATTGATAAGATGTATGTAAGAATTTGTTCATGTTTTAGGGATATAATGTAATGAATAGAGCAAAATATGTGGTGCCTAAACTTATACGAGATACATCTGCATCAATTTTAAAATTTAAAGGACATCAGCGGAAATTCTGGTAGAAATGTTAGAATCGATTCAATTTTTCTGAAACTTGATTCATCACCAATTTTCAAAAAAAATTTTTTGAAAAAAAAGTTTGTGTTTTTCGATTTCCCTGGCGTTTTTCCGACAAGAATATTGCTTGCAAAATAAAATTCCCTGACATCCCGAATTTTGGCAGATTCCTTGACGTTTTCCTTACTTTCCCCGACACAATAAAAATTCCCTGACTTTTCCCGGTTTTCCAGGTTGCTAGACACCTTGCCGACAGAAAATGAACCTCCAATGCTTTGGTTTGAATTCCTCATACATGAGAAGACACCCTGATTCCAATAATACAGAGAAGAAAGGTGAAAAAAAGATGAGTCGGACTATTTTTGTTGAAGAGGGGATCTATTCAGATGCAAATCATCACACTACAATTGATTGCAATTACTTTGATAACTCTCACCTTATGAGTAAAAGTTACATTCCGTTTTATCGGTGGGTTTTTCTGCATGACTACAACATTGTGCTTGACGCCAGTTAGGTTATTGGTAACATTCGGTCGGACCGAAGCGAGGTTCGGCCGCATAAATCGAGGAAATCCTGTTCCAGGCTCTGACCTTGATGCAGCAGTGGTAACAGAGGAGCGAGGTGTCATCACTTTAATTCCAGTCACTGAAAGATAACAGTCAAAAATATTTAAATTCACGCCTGAGAATATAACTGAGGTCACAAACACAAATCATTTGGGAATGAAAAAAAAAACAGCAGCAGTAGGGAGATAATATAGTTTTTAAAAACAAACTTCATGACTGCGTCAAAAACTGTGTAATAGGGTGTTTCAAAAATAACTTTTTTTGGATAACCTTTGCTCCTTTCAAAATTCCTGACCGCTCTTGGACCTCAGTAACATGAGTATGAGTCAAATTTTGGTCTCGCTTATTTCCATGTTGAAAAAAGGGGGGTTAGGCCCCTTTTTTTCCCGAAAAATGGGCTAATTTTGAGGATTTTCTTTCAAGCTGTATATTTACATAAAAGACATTTTAATAGTGATTCTTCGAATATAATGCTTCATTCACCCTCATCTGATGTGAATTAAGTCTCGATGATTCTAACTTGGGGGCACATGCAATTATAGGGGACATAAGCTCATAAGAAAATCCATGAAAATTTCTGATTTTGTTTTTCATATTTTCTTTCCCTTGGTCAAGGAGTTTCAATGTTTTTGAATGATTCTATGTAAGGAAAAAAAAGGCTTAAAACTTCAGATGTTTTATGTACCACAACGTTTTGGGATCCTAATAATCATGTTTTCAACCGAATAAAATAAAAATGAATATTAAGTGGAACAAAAGCTAAAACCTACACATTTTATAGTTTGGGGTGGATTAAGTATCCTTGTGTTAATGTGGATAGATGCTCCTACCTACACACTACAACACTACATAGTGTTCAGGAATTGGTCTTTTTCGATTAACAGTGTTCAACAGAGAAAATATAGAAAGATCCATACACAGACAAATATGCAGTATATGATATTGAACAGATTATTTACCTAAATACAAAAGCAGCTACATTCTAAACATGCGTTATGCATTCATCCTCAAAAAAAGGATTATCACAGAAAATTAATACTACTGGAAGTATGTAGGTGTTGTGGACCACTCACCAACTGGACTTGAAGTTGGAAATGTTGGATTTGATGAAAATTGACTATTAAAATTTTTGTTTACTACTTTCAATGCGCTCGGCGGGATACTGGAACCGACTGCTACCTGTAAATCAAGGCATCAAAAGTGATGGTTAGATTGAACATAAAGTGTAAAGAAATCTATGATATTTACTCCTTGCAAATAACTACATAATAGAATAGCTTTTAAAGGAAAAGCAATTGATAAACAAAAACGGCGACTGCAAAAATCCAGAGGAAATCAATATTGAAAGTCACAGGGAATGAATTTCTGATAATAATAATTAGATTTCGTTTCTTTTCATGAGCTAAGAAACATTTTTAACTAAAGACCCCACACACTCCTTATGGGGATGTGTACCACAAGCGATTTTCAATTTTTTATTGTTTTAAATTCTTCTATGGATGTTGATCAACAGTCATCATTGCGCCAACTTTCTACGAGCCACCATTTATGCACAATCCGTGATTGTAATTTCAGTAATTTCCAGGACTGGCCGGCGAAAATCTAAACGCAGTGCATGTCTGTGTGGTGGGGAAAATGGAGTGGGAGAGAGAAAGAAACTGATTAGGACGGTGGAAAGGAAAGGCATGTGGAATCCAAGATAAGAAGTGTCACTCGGCTCCTGATTGGTTTTCCAGTTTACGTCATTTACTCTCAACCGACCCACCCAAAACGCACTCGAGTACTTACCTTCATTTATGCAAGAGGTAATCAAAGAATTTTCCACGGATTGTGCGAAAACGGTGCCTTATAGAAAGTTGGCACAATGTTGACTTTTGATCAGCATTCATAGACAAATTTAAAATAATTAAAAAAATTAAAAATCGATCATATTACACATCCCCATAAGGAGTGTACAGGGTCCTCTGGAGAAAAAAAGGACAAAAAATGATCTTTCCAGCACTTTCACACCTGTTTTCTTGAACATTTATCACAGGTTCAAATGAAATAAGTATTGAGATATTTGCAGAGGTATGTTTGGCTAAAAAACTGAGAGAAAATTTACATACCACTTTGTGACCAGTTGATGTCCCTTGCTTCACAGCTGAGATTATTTGGGTGGGCTTGGAAATACTGGAGGGCATTGTTTTTGGTGTAGCGACTGCCTTTCCATTCTTGGCATTCTGCAAGAATAAATTAAAGCAAAATAGAATTTAAATTGGAACATGTTAAAATTTAAATTAAACTAAAAATGATGATTTTATAACAAATTAAATTGGTCACAAAAGGTTTCATTTATTTTTGATGTGAAGAAATTATTGAATATTAATTAATTTTAGAGCAAAAAATAAGAAAAGCTTAAAAATTATGACAAACTAATCTACTCTAATTTTCTAGAAACGATTACAATTGCTCCATTTTCTGAAGATTTCTTGATCTAGAAACCCTATGGTCTACTTCTAGCGAAAATTAATGTGTATTTCTTATACAATATATTACCAATTAATTTTAATCACTCAGGAAAATACAATTGGTAAAATTTGTTCTAGAGTTGGGGCGGGTATCCGGCGATTATCAGAATTGCTAGATTATTCAGCCAGATGCCGGATACGATTTTCGCGGGTATCCGTATCCAGCCGGATAAACTCGCTATCTGATTTTTGGACCCGCCAGATAGCGTTTTTCCCCGTGAAAATTTCCAGAAATTTTTGGTGATATTCTGGCACTTTTCGGCGCTCTTTGACGAGTCATGGAAATTGTTCAACTTTTTGAAACTTGATATTACTGGAATTAAGTGCATTTTCCGTAAACTGACACAATCGCCACATTATCCTTAAGTTCATGTGTTTCACTGTCGTAGACAAAGGTGCAGGTAGAAGAGAGAGAAAAAAAAACAATGCCATCAACATGTGCATAAGTTCTCTGTTGGTAATATTTTAAGTCCAAGCGTAACTCTGCAATTATCTTTATGTTGTAGTACGCAGTTTGTTATTACAGTATCAAAACAAAGGGCCAATTAAGTTCGTGATCGGTCTAAATATCCTGTATGAAGACACATACATTGCGCATGACGGTTTGATGGTCTAATACAGTGTGCCTCTTGTCCACCATGCGTAAAATCGGGAGATTTTTCTCACGCAAAGAAGCACTAACCAGAGGCGGCATTATCCTGGCGAATTATCCGATGTCCAGCTCTGGCCGGATACAAAAAATCGATATCTATATCCGGTGATACGAAGAATCAATTTTAGCCCAACTCTAATTTGTTCAATTGAGTAGATGACTTATCTCTTTATTTGGTGCCATAAAAGTTAAACAAGTTCACAAACCTTCGGTGCGACTGTGGTGAGCGGTTTGTTTACAGTGGTTTTTGCTACCACCCTTCTTTTTTTGACCGGTGAGTTAGTGCCACTTTTAATGATCGGAAAGTTATTCCCGAAAGTTTCACCAAGAAAAACTTTTTGCAAAGGGGCGTTGGCATTTTCATTCTTATCAACAGCAGATTTTACACATCCATCATTTAAAATGTCACTTGGAAGGGCCTTTGATTTCTCATCGTTGCTCTTTTCCTTAGAATTTTCTTCTGATGGACCTTCGTTTTCTTGCTTTGGTTTCTTCACAGACCTTCTTTTCGGCTTGTCTGGCTTGACAGGCTCCACTGGAAAAAATAATTGAATTATATTATTTGAAGCTACCTATTTTACTCCGCTAGTAAAAAAGCCATTTAGCATCCAGCATGAGGGCCTATTCATTCCAAAAAAAATTAAACTGGTGTTAACATGTCATTTGAATCCATTTCCTACTATCCAAAATATTTTCCTTCAAATGAGGTGAAGGTGGCATTATCTCACTCTGACGTTATTCAACAATTGAACGTCGGGTATTTTTTCTTCAAGGTACTTGCATTATATTCTACTCAAACATTAGCAGGATTTTCATGATAAAACAAAAATAATAACTCTTTGAAGCAAAAATAAGACATAATTTTCAGGAAATTCAAGTAACATGAATTTTTTGAAAGCATATTGATGGCCAAAGTGCGAAACTACATACTTCCATTTGCAACATTTCAGACTTCCTGTCATACCTAATTTTTTTGTTCGAAAACTAGTCCACGTATTTTCTAGAAAACTTCCTTGATTCCCCCTTCTGTCAACAGAATATTCGGAATAAATTTCAAGCTACATATAAAGTTGACTTGTTTTTCTTTGAAAAAATGAGATACTTGTGGAAATTTTTAAATACCGCAATGAAGATAAGTAGTATCGCACTTTATATATCGATATTATACTTTTCAAATGGAGCTTTGTGCCAACAGTGCTTATCAGTGGTCTGTAGAACCTTCACAGAGAATTTTTTGTGTTCCTCAAGTTTTATTTGCACTGATAACATTTCACTTTTGAAAGGGAAAACATTTTTTCCCACTGCATATAGAAGAGGGATGTCTGTTGATCATCTGACACTGAATGCATTTTACCACCAATACCACCAAGGTTATGTGTTTGTTTACATTTGAACCAACGATAGTGCAATATGGACCTTTGATGTAGCCACTAGATAAGTCTACTGGCTAATCAGTCAGGAATTGTCATAAATACTGACCTTCTTTCCTATTGGCTTTGGTTGGAAAAGGCAACTTCGCATTTTCGGCAGCTGTTATGTTTGCAATTTTATCAGCTAGAAATGAATATGCTGTCTGAGCATGAAGCCGCGGGATGATGGGTATTTCACGCCTTCCTTCGATAGCCCACTTTATTTCAGTATTTGGTCCATATATCCTAGAAGAGAATATCAAAATTTTGCTTGTGAAACTCTTTAGACATTCCAAGATCGAGTGGGAAAATGGCAAGGAAAAATTATTTCTGACTACTGCCTAAGTACAGATGATATCAAGGGTGAGAACAGAGACTTTCCAACTGTGACTCTATTACTTTACTATGTACATTAGGAGAACCCTGAGGAGAACAGGAAAATAAGGGGAGAGGCTTTCAATGAGCATTTTCATTTCCATGATGATTTTTCGATGGAAAAGTCAAATTTTATGGGAAAAAGTGTTTTTCTCCGAGGAAGTGCTAATTCCATAATTTGGTAACAAGTTGGGAAAGGCTTGGAACTTTTTGCTCTCTTGGAAGGTTTCAGAATACGTAAATGTTCATGAGAAAAGGGATCTTAATGCTAAAACACTAAAAAGACAGTTATGTAGATTGTAACCAACATTAATATTTAATTCATACATATTTATTGGAATAGTATATCTTAATATTTGAAATGTGTTTTTCTCAAAATTACGGTTTTTTTAATACTCCCTTCCACCAAAGAAGTCCTCAATTACCTATAGATAAATAAAGAACATTAATAATTGAAGATGTCAAAATTTAATTCACAATTTGATTGAAGGAATTGAAGATTTCCTTTTCATAGGAAAAAAAGAGCTTTTTGCAGTGATAGAGGAATACGTACTGTTGTGCAATAGTGGAGAGTTTTTCATCGTTCACTGCGCGTCGGATCTCAGCACTATATCGCTCACGTGGAATGTGAAGTTCTGCAGCAATATCCATTAGCAAACTTTTCTTTTCGTCAGTGAGTGGTCCTTGAGCTCTTAGTGCAGACACCATATTGCCGTATGCTTCCAGTTCTACGTATAAAAATAAAGTTGAAAAATGAAACACCACACAAATTAAAACTTTTTTAGAGTAACTTATTTCTTAAAACAGTTAAATAAGTAAGGTGTACAGCCCAGGTAGTGCCACATGCTACTTAGGTTGCCTAATTATTCTCTCATCTGGCAAATAGTATGCATAGTCTAGATTGTATTTTGTGTATGTTAGGATGTAAGACTGCAGCCTGGGTAAATAGATTAGGAACAAATCGTTTTTATACCAACGCTTGCCAATGATGCCATCCGATTGTATGCACTAACCCATAGAGCAGAGCTAACTTTGAACTAGGTGATCAGAGATTGACGTCAGTCGCAGCATATGATAAGCAAGCTCTACTTATGCTACTCTAGAGGTTATGACCCTAAAATTCCAATGGAATGGTTTAACCACAGTGCACTCCAGCTTACCTAATTTCCTTAACATCAATTTGCACTCATTGTCGGTCATATCCACAAATTTAGGCCACATCTTTGCTTTTGTGTAAACAACACTGGAACAGAAAAATGAAGACAAGTTTATTAATTAATTATACTTAAGGATGAAAAAAATTCACTCAATTTGCTATGTGAATTGAAAACTTCCTTGATGGCGCCAAAAATAACCATTATAAAATTTCAGAGTATTAAAATACACTTGGAGACTTTTCTTTTATCGGAACCACAGTGAACCGCAACGGAACGCATCACTTTTTTATTGCGTTCCACTGGCGCCATCCAGTAGAACGCTTGGACCACTCTTCCGAGGTAGGTTGAGGTTGGTGCAGGCTGGTTGAACCAGCCCGAACTGCTATCATTGCGTTCCATGGAAAAAAAAAGCCCATAAGAATGATGTGCACATTTTGAACTCAGTTATGAAACCACAATACAGGCTGGTTATAAAACTTGTGCCTTAACGAATGCCTTACAGAAAGTAATTTTATCTTCAAGCTGTCTCATCAAATGATTTATTGGAGGATTTTCTTAAAACTCATTTTCAGAAAATAAGTGCAAGAACAAGGAAAAACCTTACATTTATTCCTGATTTGCATTTAATCAGATTTTAGCTGAGAAAACAACTTTCAACATTTTCATAAATCCAACTCTATTTCAAACAGAGAAAAAAATTGCACGGTTCGATTTCATGATATCACATAAAGAATTGTATCTTTGTACTTAAGCTGTGTATCTTTCCTTTCTGGTCTGAATTGTAAAAAAGGATTGGAGGTGTCATCAGATAAGTTGACATTTGATTACTTTTGGTTTGCAAGCGCAGACGACAAATTTAGGCCTCTGCACAGACCATCGTTCGCTACCTTTCATCTTAAAAACATCCGTCTCAGGATTGTATTGTGAACACACTATGCATCAGTTATGATCCATGACCTTTATGTAGTGGTAATTTCTGTGTGGCTAAAAATTGAAGATGTGCTACTACTGTAAGTGTGAAAATCCGCTCCTCAACTCAAAACCTCGCTTTTGCAAACGTTGGATGTTATCAAGATGGATATTAACAAACGACGGTCTAGAGAGAGGCCTATATTTGTCATCTGCCCTTGCAAACCAACAGTGAACAAATGCCAACATATCTGACGACACTTCTATGTATTTCAATCATGCTTGTGTTGTCATTGCTGTTTGAAGTGACTATTCTTGATACTTGCCAGAAAGGAAATCGTTCCCTCGTAATGAAACCTGTATGGTAGCCATTTCATATTAGATTTTCCGTGGTTAAAACCGTGGATCCTTGCTTTATATGGCATCATAAACTTCAGACCAATAAAAAAGATTTGTTTCCTTTCTAAAACTTCCGAGCCCTTTTTGTCCATTTGTACAAGATACTAGGAGATTTTAAGCCTGAAAACGCTGTCTTCGCTGAAATAAACCAAATCAAATGCAAAGGTAAGATATCCTCTGCATACTGATTTAAGTTTGTCAGAGCTTTGCAAATCAATATGATTCGCCTGTTTTAATCATAAGATAATTGGTGATAAAGAGGCCTCTTTAACTAGGAGAATATGAAGTACTAACCTTTGACTGAATGATAAATTTCCTTCAGTTGAGTTCAAAGAAAAACAGCCAAAACAAAAAATTATAAAATGAAGAAGGATTCATTGTTTTCTTCTTGGGAGACATGATTGGAAGAAACCTTCTTTGGAATCGGTTGCATCTGCACAACATATTCTTGAAACATAGGTAGAGGAAATACACCTGCAGTTCACGGATAATTACATTGAGAAAGTGTACGAAAATCTAAATATCACATCAAAAGCACGAGATGAAAAAAACTAATAAAAAATGTTCACTTCGAGAACCGGAGCATGAAACCAGTTTATTGGAAGTTATTTATTTAAAATAAATTTTGAGGTTAATCTAGGAACGGTCGAATATTTCAACAATCGAATACTCGATATTCGAGATATCGTCATCAAGATAATCGCATCACAAAATTGAATGTTGGTGAATTCTGCTTTCATTTCTCTGATGAATTTTGTCAATTTTTGGGATTAGAATAATTCTCTAGGCTCATGCGCAGGGGCTTTCGTCCTTTTTTTGGTTAAAAATCCAAAATCAGCCGAGATTTTTGACTCTATTGATGCGATATATCGCATGCCAGTTCGACCACTTCACTTGAGCTGGCTTGCCTTGAATTGTTGAATCGTTATCGAATGACCTCAATCGATAGATAGCCTTGCCAATATAGGAATCTATCGATCGAGTTTATTCGATGTCACTAACGATTCAACATAAAGCGAAGCCAACATGGCCGGCCGCTTGTTTGTGCTTTTAGAGTCAAAAATGTCTAACAATGTATTTTTTAGTGTTTTTATCTAACCATTTGTGATAGTAATCATTAAATTTTCTTGTTTTCTACATGTTTAAGTGTAACTGTTTATAGATCTTATTTCTTTACTTATCTTGGTTCTATAATTTCAAAATGTGTGATATCAAAGTAGTGAATCCAGCTGTGCTGAAATCAATAGAAAGGTATACATTTTTTTTCAATGTAATATCTTCAGCTGCTCGTTTCTGTGGCTCCTCTTTCGAGTGGGGTCTCATCTATGTACTTAGCTATTTCGCTCAATTACTTGATCGAATGATCTATCTTACTTTAATTCTACCTTACTTCACCATTATTCTAGTTTGCCTTTGTTCGCTCTACCATAATACTTTGTCGGCCATCTCATAGATTCTATGGCCATCTGCAGACAGCTCTATGGCATTGCATTTAAAGCCACCGTCAGTGCCAATAAACTAAGTATTTAACAAAGTAAAGGACTTCTTCACCGTAGAAACCTTGCATATTTATTCCTCTTTAAGTGATTTGATGCACCTATAACTGCTGAAAGATGATTTTTTCCGAGGTGCCAACTGGACAGTCATGATTGGTGGGGAGGAGGGGGGCACTTGTACCTTGTAAGGTGATCCAATGGTTGCCATTTTTTGTGTCAGAGCGATGTTCAATGTATTTGACAATTTCAGCTTGGTACTTCTCATTTTTATTGAATTTTGAGATCACACTTCTCTTGTCATGAGTCTAATGAATTCATGTACCTGAGACAGAAATTCAACATATTAAAAGTAGGGTTTTTTCAGATGAAAAATATTGCATTGGAGTGTGGTTTTGATATCAATATCGAACGTGATACTTATCCTCTTAAAAAACCCTGCCTTTGATACGTCAAATTTCTTTGTCAAATTTGGTACATGAATTCTATAGTCTCGTGACAACAGAAGTGCAATCTCAAAATTCGAAAAAAATGACAAGAAGCTGAAATTATGGAACAAGTTAAGTAATGCAATACATCGCATGTTGCTCTGATACAAAAAATGGCAACTGTCGAATCATCTAAAGGCCAAGGGGCCCTATGGATCCCCAGTTGGTGTCTGGAATTTTGCAAAGTTGATGTAATACCACCAACTGCACGAAACTCTGGAAAAAGGGAGCTGATAATAACACTGATTTTCTGTTACCGTTAGTTTGTTTCGGTGCTTCATCAACTCTTTGGGCTTGTTTACTCCGTTTTTGTTCATTTGAAGGTTCCTTCTTGTCATTCTTTTCGCCTATTCAAGAAAAACATTTGAATCAAGGAACTTAGGTTTATCGGATGAAACATTAAAACTATCTTTTTTGTATCAGCTCTATTAATCATGATCATGAAAAGGCTATCAGTAGTTGCTGGAACTCAGTTTTCTCCCCACTTTCAAAGCAAAAAAAAATAAATGATTTTATCAAAGGTGATTTTCCTAAAAAAAACTTTAGTAATAGCCATGGGTAGGTTATAATGACGTTTTCGTAATATTTACAATGCCTTCCTTGCTACTTCAAAAATAGTCATTTACCTGGAGCAATAATTATCCCACGTTTAATGCCCCTTTTTTTTCAGTTTCATGAGCGATTCAGCATACAGAGAGGCTCTAGAAAATTCAACAAACTACAATACCAGAATATGTATTGAGCGAAGACTGCGGATGCCATTTTTGGATTCACAAACAGGTAATTTTTTTTTAAAAATCAATTAATTATTACGGATGTATTGTTAGACTTTGTTATTTATGCAGCAGAGCCACTCATCAAGAGATTTCTGCATTTATGATTTTAAAATTACTTTACTTTCACTTACTTTCTGTGCTACAGAAGGTTTTCTCTTCCATGTACCATTTTTGTCACGTATCACTGCCAAGTGTGATATGCTAATGAGGTCTAAAAAGGCCCAAACCGGTATAGATATCTCGGCTGAACACTCTCCCCCCCTTAGTTTCGCACTGGTACGCATTGGAGTTCAAAAAATTTAATTTTAACTCTAATTATAATTTTTGGAACTTCTTGGCTTTGTTTTCCTCGCAAAATGGTGTGGACCCAGCACCATTTCTCCATCTTGTTACATACAGTTTGGGCTACTTTTTAGTTTTTTTTTCATTTGTATCATTTTTGTAGTGTCAATTATATATTTTTGTAACATCTATTTTTCTAAACAAAGAACCATTCATCTATCTCCCTCTCTGTATATTTCAGGTGTTGCGCAGAATCATTGCAACCTGTTTATGTCTCAGAGGCAGCGAATGCCTGGTCTAAGAGAAGGTCAGATCTACACCTATCCATCAAAACCATGGCGTAAGAAACGGCGGCAATATCTCATGAATTTCATAAGCAGCCGCAGGAAAGACAACGATTCTGATAGTAATGACATGCACACTATCAGCACTGTAGAAAACCCTGCCATAGTCAGCAATGAGGACAGTAAAGACAGCTCAAGCAAAGATGAGACCACTGCTAAAGTCGCTGTAAGCTCATATTTTTTTTACCAATTCATGTTTCCTCTGCTAACATTGACTCACAACTAAGTAAATCTGATTTTTTGTTGGCTGTTGTCAATAGCCAGCTCCTATATCTTTGTTGCAAGAGCACCTCTGCTTCTTTTCTCTTCCTTAGAATATTCCTTCTTTCCTTAGAAACCCGACACCACTACAGACTTTTAGAACAGTAAATTACAGCCATAGGTTCAATCATCAAATCATCAATCATTGTTTAAGTTTATGCTAGTGGCTTTGTTTCAGTGTCGGGTATCTTTTTTCGCTCTGCTTGGGATTGATTTTTTTAGCATTACAGCACAGGAGAGAGGTTGCAAATTTCAAAAAACAGAGCAAATTTACAAAAAATTTTGCCTGATAATTAAAAACAGAAAGAAATTTTTCTTTAGTCATGGTGCCCTGGCAAAATTTTAAAATGCAAGTTAGGTAATTCTACAAGGGCCATATCAAAAGTAAGTTTCTCAACTTTTTTTCGGACTCCTCAGAACGTAATAGGAAAAAACCCAGTACATTGTTGGGAAGCCTATACCCGCAGCCTTCTAACTGTATAAAAATTTTGAAATTTGTGCCGTCAGTCAGGAAAAAACTCAATTTTTGTGGGAGCCTTCCGAACATTTCCTGCTAACTTTTGGAAAAAAGGTACAGGAAGCGAATGCACAGCAATTTAAAGAATATGATGTTATTTTTTTTTTTTGACAGCATCGCTTTCTTAGTTTTCTGGATATAATTTCCATCTAGGAGGACACATTTTTCACAGCGGAAAATGAGCTGTTTGATACCAAGGGCAAAAAAGTCCGCATCCAAACTTTTGAGAAATGTCATCACGCTGATCCTCAAGTGTTAGTCTGAATCAAACCTCAGAACTGATGATAGTCAAAGAGAGCCAGATCAAGACTGCACGGAGCATGTGGCAACAATGGCTGTGATAAAATATCACTCGCAGTCCGCTTGCAGTTGGCTGGAAACGTTCTGGAAGGCTTCCACAAAAATTGAGTTTTCTCGGTGACTACTTGCACAAATTGTAAAATCTTTATACCATTGAAAAGCTGAAAGTATGGACTTTTCAACAATATATTGGGTTTTTTCCTATCACATTTCAACCCTTTATGACATGAATTAATTGTGGATCTCCAACCGGGGGGATACTAATCTATTTTGTAGCTTGCATAAAAATTATGGAGTATCAAATGGTTTTCAGAGTTTTAAATTTTTGGGAATCAGTCATTTAAAGAAAAAAAAACTAATTTGCAAAATCATGCCACAGAGAAAAGATTCAATTTTTAAATATCCCCATAAAACATTGTTACGAATTCGTAACGCTATGGCATAAAGGGTTAAGTCTGTGGAAAAAAGTAGGAAAACTTACTTTTTGCACTACCCTCATTTGTAATTATATTTTGGACACTCCACAGGGATACCTAGAAAGCAGATGATATCAACATTGGTTCTCATATCTTTCTTATTTTAAAATTAATTCTTCATCCTCAGTCACCACGGATGCCACATTCTTATAATTCTTGTGCTAAAATTATCTACCATTAAGCTTATCTTCATGCTGTGCTGTGCTTTTATTCCAGTTTTATTTCCAAAATAGGTTTCTGTATCAGAACTCGAAAGAATTATTTCATTCCCTGTATTTCTGAATACTTAAGATCGTCAGCAATCAGAATGTGTTGATGGTGAAACTGCAGAAATGAGAATCTCGGTTTGTGGTGTTGCAGACTCTCTGTCATACTTTATTTTCTACATGGAAAACTACTGAACGTCATTTTTTGATAATTTCAGAGATTTTTCTGCTTAACAAAAAAAAAAATACTCTGTGAAAATTTCAAGCCATGGTATCAGTTTGGTCTCTCTTTAACAAATTAAATAGGAGCTGAGATTTCAAAACACCGCAACGGAGGTATGCATTTTTGCAGTTTCACCGTTGATATGCGCCCTTGCTCCAAATTACAGTGTACAACATTGCATTTACCATTTGCAAAGAACTCCTTTATCTTGAGACAGAATGATGCACAGTACCCTGTGCATGAAATCAATTCGATATTTGACTGAAATCGCTCCATCAATGCTTTTGGTGTGCCTATGGTCATTTTTATAGTGCTTTTGCTTAGGGGAGTCATGTTCATTGGAATAGTGTAGTTCAGCTTTTCTAACTTCTTTTCTAGAGGTGTCTTCTCCGTTCCGGGTAAACTATCAAAAATAGCTTTGTTAAAAAAAGGAACAATAAGTAGACCCTTACCCATAGCCATCGGAGTTTTCAGAAGTGTCATAAAGAAGCTGTTGCCATGTTCATGAGTTTTATGGGCTAAGTAGCCCAACAGACTGAAGTACAAGGCAAAAATGCTTTGAATCAAAGCTCATGCAGCTCCAATAGCACCTGCTGTTGCTGATAAGATTTTGAAGGCAGTTTTGTGAGGAACTGAGGGTCTACCCCCCCCCCCCCCCCCCTTATTTTCTCTTGAACAGTTCCCTAGTATGTTTCACCCGTGTCCTTTCCATTTGTATATAGTATAAGAGCAAAACTCGACTGTCAGTCAGCAATCGATTCTGGGGTGGTCTGCAATCGTACGCCAAATTTGTTTATTTTTGTTTTCTGGACCAAAGGTAGAAATTCTTTATTCTTTTTATGAATCAATCTAAGTGATATAAAACCATATTGCAGGGTTCAATTTTCTATTATCAACCCAAGTTTTGACAAATTTTTACAAGAATTTTAACCCTAGGACCTCTGCAGGGTTAGTCTCCCTTTTACTTTCAAGCAATGGGGAGGGGGGTTATCAATTACATAGTTGGCCTCCAGCCTCTTTACTCGGTGAATGGCAAGCCTATCCCTAAAAAAAGACTGATAGTTGTACAATATCCTCTCTATTCTAATAAAATCATTTTTAAGAGGCTCGATGGGCGGGGTAAGGAAGAAGAATAAGACGGTCGATAGGCTGGGGTGAGAAAGGGGAGTTCAAAGTCCCTAAGTGGGAAAACCGCCAATGGCCCGCACAGCGCCCTTGGGGTTGGGTCGTGTAGCGGCCAGGGGGTGGAGCCTCCTAGTTTGCTTACCTAAAGACATTTTTCAGCTCTCATCTTCTTCTTCAGTCTGAGGTAGGATTTGCTTTAAAAAACTGAATTTTTTCATGTCAGCCATTAAAATGAAACACTGCTTTTATGAGGGATGCATATTCTTTGTGTTAGGAGTCCTCTTGGTATTACGATGAAATGGATATGCATGACTTGGACGGTTTTGATGAACCGGATGCAGATTCAGATATGGACTACGAAGAACCATCGAAGCGTCGCAAAGGTAAAAGTCGCAGCAAACCAGCTAGCCGCCAATCACCAGCAGTTGATTCACCAAGCAGGAGAGGACCTAGCGGAGGAGGATCAAGGGTTTGTACCGGCAGCTTTTTAATTTTAGTTATTGATATATGTTCTAATTAAGTTTTACCTTCATAGCTAGCAACAAACAGGTAAATTTTTATCACAAGTATGTGGAAAAAGCTAGCCCCAGGTAGGCAACGGAGAGGGCGTCCAGCCAAGTGGTGAGTAGAGGGTATCCGTGAAGAGATGGAGAGATGCCAGCTTCCGGAGGATCTCTACCATGATAGATTCTTGTGGCGGGTAGGCGTTGCAGAGCGCCCTAGCGCGCCGTAAAAGCGGCTTATACATACATACATGTGGAAAAAGCTAAAGGAATAGACACAGGATATACCAAGATCAACAGAGATGGCTTTCTGAGGAAGATCAGTAAGAATTTATAAAAGAGATCAGGTCTGTAATGCTCGAATGCATCAGATCATGAAAATGACATTGTGTTTAATGTCATGATCAAACAGTTAGTTTTGTATTATCATGTGAGTAGAATAACTGTAGGAAGGCTGCTGGAAAAAGTGCTTGATTTGGTTCCTCCAAGGAAAAGATGGAGGGGACGCCTAGCGAAAGAGTGGTGGAATCAAAATTGAGGAAATGCTGGCTTTCGGAAGGCCTTTGGGAGGATAGGGGTCTGTGGGTGTTTGGTGTTGCAGAGCGCCAGAGAACGCTGTAAATGCATCTCTAAGGCTGGAACTTGGTTTTTGGAAACACTTAATTCTTTAACTTGATGGAAAGACAAGATATTTTTGCGCCTGGGTATAAAAATTCCTGTTGTAAGAGGAATTTCCTCCTTTTTTTTTTAAATCCTGTGTAATTAGATGTAATTTATAGTAATCTTTTGAAATGAATATTCTAAGAAAGTACAACAGGCATTAATCGCAGGGAAACAGGAAAACTCTGAGAGAGAATCTGAAATTCAAAGGGAACTTTGTCTCTCTCATGATGCACAGTTCTAGATTGCTAATTGGATTGATCAGAAAAGTGTTCTTATTTTAATTCTGCGTACTTTCTGGTATGGTCTTATCTGAGGGGCAAAAGGAACTATGTATCAATCTCAAAAGCCTTATGTGAAGTACTCTCAGTGATCTTGTCGAAAATACAAGCTGCCATCAAATCATAACTTATTCACAATTTTTTGCCATTTTTATTTTTGTATTTTTTTATATTAGTTCTATACATATGTACTACATGTGTTTTATGTTCGTGCCGGAAGCAATCACCACTTTTAATCCATTCACTCAACTGTGCCATTTCATTTGCATTTTGCTTTCATTGAGCAGTATGTTCATGGACTAAATTATTTGATTCATATATTTATTATTATATTTTACATTATATACATCAGCTTAAGCTTGGATTAAGCTTGCCACTATATCTCTTTTTGTATTTACTTATCACCGCAAGATTTGAAAAATGTTTGCTTTACCTGTCATAGTGTGCCACAAATAGCATAACAAATTTTGGTAAGACCACCTGTAGCTTCCTAAAAATTGGTTTAATTGTTATTCTTCACTCTAAAGAGTTTGGTCTGTGTAAGAGGGGTGCAGGAGCGTCTTAACTGGCAGGTTTTTCAAGGTCGAGCATTAGTTTGGGAGATCTCAAAAGAAGTTTTAAAAAAGGAATGATCCTGGAAAGAGATTTTGAACTGTGGAGGCCAGTTTGTGTCTATTAAAGAACGATGTACTACTCATGAAGTGGTGGAAATTTCCAAGTAACGAGAGAAAAAGTGGCCATCACTTCTGGTAACCACTTTGTTGAACTCACAAAAAAGCCAACACTGTAAGATATAAATCAATGTTTTTTATCAGTGCAAGTCTTGAGATAAAGTATAACTGGACTGAATGAGACTTGAATCACGTGAAGAATTTTCTTTACAGGCTAAAAGACAAATTGTTGTTGCCAAAGAGATTTCTAAGCTATCTTATGACTCAACAGATAGCTTAGTTGACAGCATAGTGTGTGAGCAGTTGAATTATGAAAAGCAATAAATATGTATTCGATTCACATGTTTGAGTATCCATGTTACAAAATAGTTAACATCACTTTGGCCAAAACCACGGTGCTGATAATGTAAATTTGTTCTGTTGATTTCAAAACAATGGAACGAATATTTATTTGTATGAAATGTCTTTCTATAAAATAATTGTTTTATTTGTGAACCTGAACATGTGCTACCACATGCTATCATCATGTAAATTTTTACTTCAACTTCTTCTACCTCTGTGTACCTACAGAGTTCTGCAGCGGCAGGGAGAGGGAGGAGAAAAAATATGGCGTATGCTGATCTAACGGATACAGACAAACCTTTCTCGTGTGATCGTAAGTAATTTTGCTCTTGTCTTCGCCCTTCACATGTCTGGCCTTCAATCCTTGTTTGTTCCATCTTCAAATTTTCATACCGTCTAAACAAAGACCCTTGTTGGATCTATCATGATTTTTAAGTGGTTAAGAATTCATCTTCTTTTCTCACTATGCATATTTCATTTTATTCTTCAGTTCTTATTTCTTTGTGCCTTCTGAAATTCACGAGATGGGAGAACCTGCATTTCCCCCTCTTTTTTCTCTTTTTCCGGTTAGTGTAAAGCATAGAGCAAATAAATGTTTTATGCGTTCTCTTAATTGGAGGCCTAATGAACAATTGAACAGTTATTTTCTAGTGCAGAATAAACGGCTGTTAGTCTTGTCGACAACTTTTTTTAAACTGTGAAACTGGAAGAAGTTTTTCCTTTGTCAATTAGTATCATAATATTCACAAAACGTCTAGTCATTTAAAAAATGGTGATGAAATCATTCAAATACTACTCCCCCCCCTCCCCCAAAGTTTATACAAATTAGAACATCCTCCCCCAAATTTTCTTTAATATTCAGTTAATTATTCATTAACATGTATTTCCTCTCATCGGACCAGAGGAAATTGTGGGTAAAGGGTAATTTTCTGTTTCATGTCATGTTACCTCTTTTTAACACATTTTGTAAATGTATGTTCTATCAATCAAGACAGGCAAAATTACATTTATCATTCGTTATTTATCATGTACATTAAATGTTCAAGTGTAAGTATGCATGTTGTTTAAGTTTAAATTCAACCAAAAAAATGTATGGTTCCAGGAGAGGCTCATTACACGTTTTATCAATTTATTTATTTATTTTTTTAATATTATCATTCTTTTCAGCTATTTATTCTCAGTTTCTTGGTCTGGTTTAAAAATTGACCATCCTTTTTGCAAATAAGGTACTTGTCACATTTTCCCTCTTTGAAATTTAGCATTTATTTATAAATTGTTTATTGAATGACCTAAACCAAAAACATGTTTGTGACATTTTTTATGTATTTTCAAAGGGATGTGAAAAATATTGTAGTATCTCTATTGCTTTAATGAAGCCATTTTTGACGATACAGCCAACATTGTGAACTTAAAATATCAGTAAAAGTTATCGCATCCTGATATTTTTGATGCCCCAATAGTGTACAACAAAATTCATAATTAATTCAAAGAAAGAGAATTCTTTGAAATTTTGCATTACTTTAAGTGTAAAATTAATGTATATTTACATTGCGGTTTGGCTGTCATGCACTTCAGAGGATTGAAAGCCCATTTTGCAAGTATGGTAGAATTTACTAGCAAAAAATAGCATATCTGTTATAGATTTTGATGCTTATAACCAAAATTCTTGACAGAGTCTTAGCCTCTTAAGAATATTGTTTGCAATAATTGAAAACTTAGGTCTTTATCATAAAGTACAATTTACCTATGCTGAAGGTTTCCTCTGTTAGTGAGAGAGTTCATTGAAAAATGCTACATATCTGCGGTTCTTTTTGTGATTAACTTTTTTGTTTAAAATACTCCATTTTCATGACCTGAAAGAATGTGCACCACTGTGTCCAAACCTCGAAACAAAAAGTGATGTGCATGCAATCTCTCTGCTCAGCAAGGTGTAAAGTTTTGCAAGGGTGCATTAAGTGGGTCAGTTATAAACTAGGAAGTTGCTCATTCCGTAAGCTGTGCGCTTAGTACTCCCTTAATAGCTTTTGATCCATAGTTCGTATCTATTGGCTAAAATTATGAGTAAAATTTGAAATCTGTGAGAAGGATCAAAACTTGTTAATTTTGAAGAATAAATTTTATTTATTCCAAAAATGTAAGAGAATTTGGACAAATGAAAGAGCCTTGTCCAGATCATAGAGTTACCAATCCAATCCAATACTTTTTGTTCACAACCGAGCGTTTTTTATTTTACTTATTTATTTTTTAAAACAATAGCTTGACCTCTGAGCTTTCAAATATGTTTCTAAAGTAGGACTCGTTTTATCTATTTTCATTGAAATCATCTAAAGTTAGTAATTTTTTACCGTTCAGATAGAGCGGTATTGAATTCATTTTTGACTCTAGTAAGAAGAGCTATCAAGTCAGCAGAGGTATCTCTTAATTAGAGCCATCCACATTATCAAAACTGCAACTGCATAGGGAAAATGGGTGTACAAAAAATTGCATTCAAGCCAGCTATGATGCGGATGATGCTTTCTTGCGCTTTCTCCGCTGCTGGCCAATATCTTTGCATTCACATTTTACAATCAATAACTTTTCTAAGCACATCTCTGTTTGAGCATACAACTTCATCTTGTTCGATCCGATCCAGCCACTCAGAGTCGGGACGGATTTTGGCTTTTCTTCATCTCTTCTCTCTTCCTTTCTCTATCCCCTGAATCAAACTGATCTGAAAGCCGCCATCTTATCTAAAACAGCTCTACTTCATTCTGTGCAGTTTCTCACCTCTGTTTGTATGTGTGTCCGGCAATGCTGCCATCTGTAACTAACCCTTCATGTTTGCATGAATGATAAGACTGTAGGCGTTTCCATCATTGTTTAGGAGACATGATGTCAGAGGATGCAAGGACTGTAGAATCTCAAGTCACATCTGGAAAAGCAGGGAAAATATGAAAAGTCTCAGCCGTTTCTCTTGAATTTTGGAGTATTTCGTTTATTCTATGGTCTTTTTTTATACCATTTGGCCGGTGAAATTGTAAATACTGGTCTCAGAATACTACATAATTTGAATGGAGAATTTTCATGCGCGGTGTGTATGGATGTTCTGTCCATACTTCAGCAAGATGATGATAATGATGATGTAGGTTTTGCAGTTCATGGTTGTTTGAATGCGAAGTGGAATTATGGCGCAGTCACAATCAAGAAGCTAGATTCTGAGGAGAAAGAAAATTTATTTGACGAGTTCATCCTTGAAAAAGTATTAGGTCTCCTTGACCTTGTATGTTGTTAGATTCACCTCAGCAAGCTGACATCTGTTAAATTTGTAGTAAAACAGCCTAACTAACTGAGTCCAAATCAAGATTCACAGTTGAGAGAAAAAGGTATCATTCTTATAATTTGTTTGTAATTTGGAAATAAAATCGAAACTTGTACATGACTTTATATCCAACGTTGTTAATAATTTATCTCTTTTGTGTTTCGTAAGTTGGTTAATAGGAACAATTTTCATCAGTCAGGCAAATTCTGCCCTCGTTAGGCTTCATCTTCATCACATAGGAATTCTCGTTGTCCTGTTGTGTTTTAACAATGCATCAGTAGGGAATCGTTTGTGTCAATCTTGGACATCAGATTGACTCAAATGATCATCATAATCGATTTATTTCTTGTTTTGCGTTCGAGCAACTAGGCATCAGGTTCTGTTGACAAGACTGTTATATTTCTTCATCTCCTTTATGATGGTCAGATATTTTTTGGAGCTAATTTTGTTGAGTCCGTCCATCATCGAACATGAATATTTTCCAGGTTCCATCAGTAAAATTTCATGCATAGGCAGCATTGTTTTTGTTTGTGTTGGTGAATGTTTCTCTCAATACCTCTTTCCAGATCTTTCTCGTTCATCTTAGGCTCAACCAAGTGCTAGATTTGTATGCGTCAAGTAGGAACAAATGAATCTTCCAGCGTGGAGTAGTGCAAGGCCTCAAAGTGGAGCCGGTTGGTCGAGGCATAAACCATATTGGAGTAAACTTTATGATTTTGTAGGAAATACTCAAAGACTACTAAAATTTCTCGTCTGTATACTAAGAAGAGAGAGGGACTGCGTGACACTCAATCGACAAATTAAGCGCGAGAGTTTAGCTGTAGTTTGATTATTGTATAATCAATTCTTTTGCCGACAGTTTGCGGAGCTCGTTATAAAACCCGCCCTGGATTAACATACCACTACACACATTCTCATAAAGAAGGGCGTGTGTGCACCGTTCAAGGAGACGAAGATGCTAGTCAAGAAGGGCCCCCTTCATCGCCGGCGAATAAAGATAAATCTCCAGCGGTACCAACCGCCTCAGGTGCTGTTTCACCGGCGAGCATGACGCCGCCCCAGGCCGGTGCCGGGGCCTCCACCAATAGCGCCTCGGCTAACTTAGCGCCTCCGGCTCAAGCAGGGATTTCCGCCGAACAAGGCCCAGGTTGGGGCAAATTTCAAGACAGTTACCTCACCTTCCTTAATGCTCCTGGTATGCTCACTCCGTCTCTGTCTCTTTCTGCCTGCTTCTTTGAGCCCTCTTCTGTTCCTCTGTCTCATCTTTCTCTCTCTCTTTTTAACTGCTTAGTACTCCGGTCTTCCTCGGTGCATGTTGCATGCTTTGTCTGTGTTAACTTTTTTGTTTTGCATGCCTCCTCGTTGTATATAATCAATGGCGGCTGCGACATGTATTTGTATTTGCCGGTAAACTTTATTTGATTGAGGTGTCATTTATTCCTAGTTGTCTACTTTTTCACAAATTTTGTCAAGCTTCTAACTATTGTAGTGCCAAATGTAAAATTTGATAAAAACTTTATTTTTATTTTGAAAGACCCAGGAAATTATTCTAGTAAAATTTTCTAGTGAAAGTAGTGAAGTCTAGTAGTGAATTCAAAGAATTCTAAATCAGCCTAACAGAATTAATTGGAATCATGGAGCAGTGTTTTGCCACCAACTGTTGAGCCATTTTTTTCTTATAAACTTCGCCAATGCCGTTGATTTTCTTTGTACAAGAAAGATGATGATTTTTAATGAAATGGGTCTCACCGCAAGAGAGCTTAAGTTTCAATTAAAATATCCCTGTAAGTTAAAACCCTGCAGTTAAATTGTTTCACCTGGATTCAGTCATTTATCAAATAGAACCATCCAGACTTACTTTTCAGAAAAGGGATCCTCTTAACACCATAGCTCTTTTCTAGGAGCCAAAAATGAGATACTGTTAAAAGTAGTTATCCCTCAGGGTTTTTTTTTTCCCTGTGCTTTGAAAGGGGGAAAAATTATATTCTGACAACTACTGCCGCCACTTAAGCTCAAAATGATTCCATTAAAATGTGATTAAATTAAAGCAATGCTGTGAAGTAGAATTTAAGAAAGATCAAATTTTTATAACATGCCCCCTATGTCCATCTGGGAAAGGAAATGTCCAGTGAAAAAGGAGTGACTGCTTTTAGTTGGTATCTGATTTTCCAAGTTTCTAAGGTAGATAGGCATATAATGTATCTGAATTCCGTAATTCCTGTAAATAGTTTTTTTCCACGAATTTTCGGGCTGTTTGTCATAAAAAGGCAAGTCCCCCAATGGAGGCGCTGTTTTGCCCTTCATGACCTCCTGCATGAGGCATGACCCATCTCTAATCCATTTTTTGCCCTGCAGCCCCAAATATTTTGAAAGGTTAAGGTCTGAAAACAATAGATCTCTTATATCCAGCCATGTTGCGTATTGATTTTAAGTTTTTCTGTGTCCTTTTAAACATTGTTTAAGATTAGTTTAAATACATTTTCAACACGAAAAAACAAAAATCAGCTCCAGAAAATTTCAAAACGTGTCGATTGAAACTTGTCAGTTGAAGTTAAGGTTGAAGCCATATGAACCATTTTGACAGTAGCTTCCATATGTAGTAGCCATTTCATACTTCTTAGGGAAAAATTCTGAAACTAGCGCATACATTTTTAAATGGATGAATTCTTTGCTGCAACACAACTAAGTTCAGGTGGTTATTGACCTAATCTAATCAGCGCTGCATGTGACTGCGTAATGAACACTGTTGGATTGGCATGTGAACAAGAGAATAAAATCTGTGTTCAACTTACAACCTTTTACAAGGAACTACAACTCATAGTTTCCAGTCAGTGGTCGGAGAAAAATAGAAAGTCGGGAAATATACTGCAACCTGAAAAAGTCAAGGAACTCATAAGGAAAGTTGGAGAGTTTTGGCAGTAAAGCTTCAAGTCAGTAACCTCAGTTTGTACCTTTCGAATGAGCAGGAACAACTTCCAAGTACCTATTTTCTTAAATTGAATCTCTAGAAATGATATTGTATTCATACTTCAGCAGAGCCGGGGTAATTATAAGAAAGAAGAATTCTGAATCGAGGTTTTGATCAAAGGTCAGGTTCCCAATTTTTAGGCCCCAAGTAAAAAATCTCAATTCTAAGTGATGCATCATTTTGAATACTGAAACTCATTTTTACAAGGACTTGGCATTTGGTACTTCCTTTTCATTTTGTAAAATAACCTTGTCGGGGCAAAGAGGGAGCAGAAAAATTTGAAGCGGATAGTGAAAACTTTTAGTCTCATGCATGTATAACTGTCCATGTTATGACGAGAAAGTAGGAAAATTCGATCAATGGAATGTAATTAAGTTTTGAAAGAGAGTGGAACAGAGAGGGAGAGAAAGGGAACTCTGATATGCAAAGGTGTCAGAGGCGGAGCAGGCAGGGTAGCGGCTGATGAAACCTAGCCACGTCTGTTCGACTGGTTTCATGACATGCTAAGACACAGGATCTCTGCATTGGTATTTACTTTTATACTGTTAAGGTACCTTTTTCACTGTTATTACTGAAGTACAGGAAAACAGCAATGCGCAGAATGAATCTGCCTATGTGGAGTTTTCATCGTAGATATAATTTTCAGTTAACTTGTTTAAGTTTCTACTGGCTCTTTGATTTTAAAGTCAACATTCGAATCCCATTCCCAGATCATTTCACTGAGGAAGTGAGTCTTGAATTTCAAAGAATCAACCTGTGTAGCACTGGTCCAAGGTGAAAACGTAACATTGAAAAACCTAGGTTTAATTGCACTACCAGCATTGAGGGAAATGGTTTTCATATGGATCTGTAGGGATTAGTTCAGCAAATAGTCACTGCATCGATTTATTGATTTCTACTATCATTATGGTTCGTTTTGGAAAAATTCAAGTGTTGGTCTGCAATTAAACCATCATGAAGAGCTTGTACAAAAAATTAACCGACAACACCCTAAAATGAATCAGTTTTACTTTTTCAGTACTCCTAGTGAATAGTGATTTAGAGACCTAACACTGACCTTACTTGGTAAATTTTGAAGGCAATTTTTTGTACATAGGTACATTAATTCATGGTTTTTGTAGTTACTAACATTTCCTTTTTTTCAAAAATGACTACCTACAGACCTCAAATTTAGAATGTATTGATACCTCCGAAATGGGAAGATCCACTTTCAGTCTGCACCCTAAGGTGAATCTACCCCATAATGTCAGAAGAAACTGACTCATTGCAAAGCTTGAATACAACTTCAAAATCAGCAATAATTTTAACGGTGTGAAATGCTTGTTAAATTCTGACCCTTGAAAGTTGTCGCAGCAAACTTATAAAATGCACAAATTCATAAAATGAGCTTTAAATTTTCAAAAGCTAAGACTGCAAATTGATCCCTTCTCTGCTTACAAGATACTTGTAAGTGCTGAAGAGCTATTATTTTACTCTTACAAACTTCAAAAAAACCTCTGCGACTACTAAATGTAATTTCTAATCCATAAATTTAAGACTCTTAAACTCAGCTATGATGTTCCCTTTACGTAAAATTTTAATGCAGAGCAGGGCAGATTCACCTTAAAGACAAGAATATTTTTAAGGGTGTATTACGAGTGCGTGTGTTTGTCTAGAGTTTTAAAAGCTGCTTAGTAGTAGAGCTTAGTAAGCATGATCATTCTTGCGGCTTTTTATGTTTTGTTTTCAAAGGATGAAGAGGACGAGGTGAGGAATTGCAATACGGCTCCATCGTTTCACTTCTCCAGCTCACTGACCACTGCTCTGCCTTCGTTTCTCACGTTTCTCCTAAATTGTTATTGTTGTTATTATTAAAGGTTAGCAGAGGCCTGAAAATTTTGAGTTTCGAGGCTCACGTCTCATGAGAAGATCATTTCGTTTGAGATTTTCCCTGGGAAAAAAAGAATATGGTTCCTGGAAGGCAAAACGGAGCCATAGATACCTCTGCATTTCAGTTTTAAAAACTTTTAGGCACAAAACATGCCTGAACAAATCAATTCAAGCAGAAGTTATGATAGCAAAAAGTTTGTAATTTTGAGAGTTTACTTTAGAGAAAAAATGCCCCTGAGTTTTATTCAGCCATGTCAATGAAACTGACAATGTGCTCCTAATTTTGATGCAGATAAAATAAAACACCCTCAATCGGTGCTGATTGGCACATGGCAGTATTCGTTTTAAAAAAATTTAGTTACTGCCGTCTTTGCCAAAGTCTTTTTTTTTTTTTAAAAAATTTTGCTCCTAGCAACAAATTTTTTCCCCCCTTGGAATATTACTCATAATCAATTTGCAACGAACATCTTCATTTCTTGAAGAGATGTAGGTTTATTAAAGTGAAGGAGTTGCGATGGGATTGCAAGCTGAGAAAGTTCCTGAAGCAACCTATGGATGTAACTCTTTGATGGCTTAACTTTTATCAGATCAACTATTCAGGAGAAGTTCTTTTATAGAAATTTCTGCAATGGGTCTGTTGCACTCAAGAGATACAGGAAAGTAAGTGTACTCTTTTTTTGGTAAAATCACTCAAAAATCTTGCTGAGCACGTCATAAAAGCCTGAAATTCATTCCTTAGTTTTTCCCTAGTTTTTCTCAGTCACCACCTACCAGGTTTGCATCGGCAGAGGAGTAAGAAAAATCAACCTGAGTAAACAAACCATCTCGCTAACTTTTTCTATTGTATGATTTCAATCGTTTTTAAGCATTTGTTTCCTTTTTCTTCCTTTATTTTGCAAAAACAAAAGCTTTGAATCAATTGAAATCTTACGCAAGGAGAGTTTTTAACACTTTGCGAAATTGTTTGTTTATTTAGGTTAGGTCTTTCTTCAGGCAAACTTGACTTCCGGCCTTCAAGAAAAACTGCCTGCATACATGGTAAATTTGAAGAAGCGTGTTACAAACCACGCAGACTGCATGCTAAGGAATGTATTTCTGACTTTTTTGATGCACCTGACTTGACTTTTGAGCAAATTTACCCTGAGTGAGAGCGTTCAATTGGCTGTATCTCTTGCGTGCAACAGATCCATTTATAATTGTTAAACCTTTTCCTGCAATTTGTTTTGCTCCCTTCATTGTCTTTAACGTCAGTGCTTAGATGATTTTATTCCATTTTGATTTTCCACATTTTGAGAAATGAAGGCGTCCTGCAGATTCAGTAGAGAGAGATGGAGCCATAAAACTGCAAACACAAAAGT